TTGGGTGGTTTGGGGGTGTTCTGGTAAGACACAGCGGTGTGCCAACGCCCGGGAAAACACCGGGGCGCGGCAAGCGCCTGCCCCAAGCACCAGGCCGGGCCGCCGGACAACAGCGGGGAGCCAACACTCCCTGTCCCAGACGCAGCCAGGACCCACCGCGGCGCGAAGCAGGTGCGCCCCGGGACTCGGCACGGCTGATCCCGTCCCCAAGCCGCAGGGCCGGTCCCCCGCAGGGCAGTCACCCCCCGACACCCCCACTCACCGCGCACTGGGCCGCACTACCCACGTGCACCCCTGCCTCGCCCCGATGCCGCCGCGCACCCCACCGTGCTGCACCGCCCCGCCTGCTTCCGATTGGCCTGCGCCCGCCTCCTGTGCCAGCATTGACAGGCGCCGCAGCCAACAGAAGAGCCGAGTGTCTCGGCCCGGAGCGGACGCTGCAGAACGCTGGAGGAGCGAGTCCCGGGCCGCGGAAGTCGGGCAGCCGAGGCTATAGGACCGTGACAGCAGTACCGAAGGGCTTCCGTGCTTTACCTGACGGTGCCTCGGGGTGAACGGCTTGGTGGTGCATGGCTCCGTCTCGGGACACCCCAACAGCTTCACCTCATCATACAGCCGGTTGGGCAAGGCTCACCAGCTGCCATACGCGTTTCCGGCGCGTTGCATTGTGGGGTCGTGAGGATACGGCGACATGGGAAGGCAGTGGACGGAACCGGGATGTGGACGTGCGTGCGCATGCGCATCACGCCTTTAGCCCCCTCAGCCCCGTCAGGGTGGGTTATCGGTGCTGGGGGATGTTGAGTGACGCTCGGGCAGTAACGTCTAGCTCTCTACGGCTGTCACAGCAGCAGAGGCGGCTCCGCTCCAGGTGTGCGGCCTTGTGAGAGGGAAATGTATTGGCACAGCACCACATCCTGTCCCGTCTCAGCTCTGGAAACCTCGCGGGCTGTCACAGAGTGCGTTCGTGCTCCTGAACTGCGTACATGTGTGAGCTAGTTTCGAAAGGCTGGGTTATAAAGATTAATGTGATTTCTTAAGGGTAGTTCATGAACTTTGTCCCGTATTCAAGCCTTTATTTTCTTTCCTCATTTCCTCTTTGCTTAGGAATCAACAGAAATGACTAACCGAGAAGAAGCTGAGATACAAATTTCAGAATTGGATTTACTCTCTAGCATGTTTCCTTATGAGGAAGAGTTCCTTGTGACTGACCAGCTGGCTGTAGCAGAGCTAAAGCACTATGTTGAAAATGAGGTTGCAGAGATGCCATCTTCAAAAGTTCAGTTTATGCTGAATGTAAAGTCAGAGGTCTCTAATGCTTCTATGGTATGGTAAACGCTTATTTTTGATTTTGTGAGATTTTAGGGCTTACTTGACCTGAGCACTTGCTTATTTGTTTTCTTTTCTTAGGTGGAATTCTCTATGGCCTGTGCTTTACCGTTTAAATATCCAGCTGTTCTACCAGAAATTACTGTGAGGTATGGCATTAAAAGTACAGGTAACAAAAATATTAAGAAGCTATGGTGTACTACATAGATAGAATTATAAAAGGAAAAGGCAGTCCCATTTTGATAGTTTATTCTCAAATTAAGCCAGAAGGACAGCAGTGTTGAAGAAAAACAAATCTACAAGGTTATGATTTCTCTGTTGTCCTCAGCAAGAAAAATAGGAAGACAGTGGAGGAGCGCCATCTTCTGTACAGAAGGGTTACACATAGGTACCATTCATAGATTTGATGTTAAAAGAAGAGAAACTGTTGTCCATTTTGGCAAGGATTAATACTAGCCAAAAGAGTAAAAAGTTACTTATTCTTCCCTTGACAAAATGCTGTCACTTGCAGGCTTCTGGTTTGGTTGTTTGGGTTTGTTTATATATATATATATTTATTTATTTATTTATTTTTATTGCAACATACCTGTTTAAAGAAGTAGCCTGGCATATTGCAGGAATTCAGTTTAGCCAGGGTGCCTACTTTTCAAGTACATTTTCCTTGATTTTGATTTTCAGATTGGTTGTATTATATGTGAACTGAAAGAGTTAGCACACACATTAAATACTGATTAACACCTTTTCATAGCTAATAATGACTTAAATAATAGCAAGTGTATACCATCTAAATGCGGCCTGGGTTTTCTTGGCAGTTTGAAGTAAAACTGAAAAACAAAATTTAAAAACATCTAAATTGTAAATGTATTAGAACTACTTTTATATTTTTCTCTAGGTCATCGTTATTGAGCCGCTCTCAGCAGCTTCACCTGAACTCGGATCTAAAAACGTATTTGATGCAAAACTGCAGTGGTGAGCCCTGCATGTTGAGTGCAAGGGAATGGGTTAAAGACCATGCAGCTGCTTACATTGACAAGGAGCTTTCATCTTCCTCAGTGACAGCATCGAATGCCACTCAGTCAGAAGTCATCATGTTTACTCGACTGTGGATCTATAGTCATCACATTTACAATAAGCAAAAAAGAAAGAATATTATAGACTGGGCCAAGGAGCTCTCTCTGTCAGGGTTTTGCATGCCGGGAAAACCAGGTGTTGTTTGTGTAGAAGGTCTTCAAAGTAGTTGTGAAGAGTTCTGGTCAAGGTTAGTTTTTCTTTGTTCTTAAATGTCATTACTAGTTAGACTATTACATTTTTCATGTTGTATATGTGGCCAGAAGGTGGGAAATCCAACCACCTTCCAGCCCGTGAAGGTTTGCACAGATACGTCTGCTTATCATAATGTATTTCCAACTGTGAATATCAACCATAGTGCTGGTTGCAGAAATCAAAGCTGCTAGTACCACACAATGCCTATTCATTTCTGTTTTATCTTCCTGTATATTTCACTTGTATAGCAGTGGACTGCAGTACCCTAGTTGCATTAGATAAGTATGTTGTTATATTCCTCCGCATTCGTGTTTTATTCTGCTCCTATCATTTCTACTTCTGGGTGGTGCAGACTAAATGAACATTGTTATTTGATTGCAACAGCTAAGAGAGTACGAGAATATGAGAGTTTTTAGCACAGGCAAGACAGAAATAAGCACTGAAATTGAAACCACATCTTCATCAATTATTTTGTGACAATAACATTAATGTTCTTGAATCCTGAGGCAATACAAAGAAACAAGCTCCTGCTTATGGAAGTGTTTGCATGTGAGTGGTGTTTCTGTGACCAGCCAGGGAACCATTATATCTGCCAAAGATACAGGTGCAAGAAGTTTGTTGACTTCTGTGATAATAGCTATTCCATAGTATTTTCTAAAATAATATTTATTTTATAGGTAGATTAATATTTCTCCAATTTCTTTCAGAGTGAGAAGATTAACATGGAAAAGAATTCTCATTCGGCACAGAGAAGATGTTTCTTTGGAAGGTGGAGGACATGCTGAGATTCAGAAACAAAGAAAGTTTTCCACCTTGGAAGAAAAATGTTTTGATGCACATGGTACCAGGGGAAATCATATGGATTTGGGGCAGCTATATCGTTTTTTAGAAGAAAAAGGATGTGCTGACATCTTTCAAATGTACTTTGGGGTTGAAGGGCATTGAAGGGGTTGACAATCACCACTGGTCCAAGCATCTACATTTGTAAGTTAATCTTCATAACAGATTCCTTAGCTGTTCTACAGGAGTTTATCAGAGGGGGAAGTAATAATTTGTGGTTTTATACAATGAATCCAGTTTTCAATTAAAATAAATATCCAGTGAGTTGCTGAATAATGAAAATTAAAATAACTGCTTTATTACACTTTCTGGATGTTTAGGGTGCATACCTAATTATTGGGAAAGAAAATATGTTTGATGAACTATCAGGCCATTACAGAATTATAGGTGAATGAATAGGTGTAACTGTGGTGAATGCATGTATGAGTAAGAAGAGACAAAATTCAAGTATGGGTATCTCAGGAGAGATACCAAAACGTTTGTTGCTGTTTACATACACTACATGAAAGCTTTTTTGTAGCAAGCTTTTATTCTGCTTTCTATCTGGAAGTGTATTGAGCTGAGATATTGCCATTTTATAAAAAAACCCAAACAAACAAAACCCAAACCAAAACCAAGCTAGCCAAAACAAACACAAAAGGAATGAGCAAGTTCACAAAAGTCTTGCTTAGGCAAACAGGATGAGCTGGGATGCCTACTCTAAGGCATAAGAATTTTCCATAGGTAGACTTGTGTGCAGAGAGACGCTGTGGTAGGTTTCTACTGCACCTGTAGCTGAGAAGCCTAGTCTCACATTAAAGCAGAACGTTACCCAGGGACGGGCTGCCTTATTAGCAAGCACACTCCAGAGCAGGGAAGCAACCCTCACTGGTCTGAGCTTGTGGAGTTGCAGCCAAGGAAGAAAGTGAATTACACTGCATGTGCTTTTGAATACAGTTTCAACAACGTTGTATCAGAATGATATTTTGATTTGTTTATGGATTGTGTATTTAAATCACACATCATAAATCATAGAATGGGCTGGGTTGGAAGGGACCTTAAACCTCATCTAGTTCCAACCTCCCTGCCATGGGCAGGGACACCTTCCACTAGACCAGCCTGGCCTTAAACACTGCCAGGGACAGGGCAGCCACAACTTTTGTGGGCAACCTGTTCCAGTGAGTCACCACCCTTACAGTAAAGAGTTGTTTCCTAACATCTAATCTAAGTCTACCTTCTGCTAGTTTAAAGCTATTCTCCCTTGTCCTGTCACTGCATGCACTTGTAAAAAGTCCTCCTTCCTGCAGGTCCCTTTAGGTACTGGAAGGCTGCTATAAGGTCTCCCCAGAACCTTTTGTCTAGGCTGAACACCCCCAGGGGTTGCTTGCTTCTGATGTTGATGATCTGTTAAAAGCCCCAACATTCATATCTCTGGTGTGCACTCGGACACCTTCCGTAGCAATACTCCTCGGTGATTTCTTTCGGCAAGCGCCGACTTCCCTCCGATCCTTTGGCAGATCCCAGGTCTTCGTAAACGTACAGAAACGGCGCCGCTACCGAGGGGCCTGACACGGCTGCGCTGACGAGAGAGCCAGGGGCGTGACCCCGCCCCCCCGGAAGTGGCTCCTCTCCCGCCCCGGCCGCGGGCTTGCTTTCTCCCGGCTCTTCCGCAGTGTCGTTGCCGCTGCTATCACCATCACTATGGGGGGAAAGAACAAGCAGCGAACCAAGGGCAACCTGCGGGTGAGCGCGCCTTGCCCTTGGGGCCCGGCTCCCGTGCTGCCGGAGTTGCCGGCGGGCAGTCTGGACGAGGAGGGTGGCGGGGCTCGGGCCTTGGCGCTGGGGCTTCTGGCACTGTCGAATGGGTTGAGGCCGTACTTCACCTTCCGGTGCCCTCGGGACTAGGTTGTAGGCCGCCGGAGGCGGCCCCCTCTGAGAGGCGGCGCAGTCTTAGGGCTCGGCTGTTGTAGCCAGGGCCACCGCCGGGCTTTGCAGGCGACTCTTGGCCTGGACCCGCTCTTCAGGGCAGTGTGCCTGCCGCTTCTGTGGCTTTAGTGCGGCCTTTCCAGGGAGGGGTAAGGGCGGAGGTGTAACCGGGAAGTCACTGCGGGTGTGAGTTCAGCGAGGTACTGGTGAGTAGTGCGTTCCTCTGTGGAGTGGTTTGGAGCACACCTGCTGTGTCTACGTGAATCTCTTGCCGACACCGAGCCTGAGGTGGTGGCTGTGTGGCGCTGGATTGGTATGGGAGAACTGTGCGTGAAGAGTTGTGTTTAGGTGATGTAATACTTACATGTGTTTAGAGAAGAATAGGGAACACAAAGAAGCAGTCCCTATATTTCAGATTTCACATGCAGAATGTAGATACAGTACTCAGGCCTGTAGATACAATAGTCAGGTAAAATGTGGCTTACGTACCTCAAAAAAATCAGAAAAGTACAGTGGGCTTCAGCAAATTGTAATTATTTTAAAAACAAACAAGCAAACCCAAACTCATTAAACTTCAAGGATCATTATGAAATAAAAGATAGTTGGATTAAAGGTATCACAGAGAACATTAAAGCATCAGTTGGTTTGGAGACAGTCTTTTGAGAAGCGTGTGGTTGAAATAAACATGAGCCATTGATACAATGAACAAGGTGTTGACTTAACTGGGGCAAACTAGAAGAGATGCTGAAACCTGAAATGGTCACTGTAGCACTAATGGGATAGTGTCACACTGTTACATATGCATCCTTTCACTCTGTTCCTCTAACTCCTTCCTGGCCTCTTTGCTGCTGGTATCATCTTTTGTTTCATGCGTATTCTTATTTTTCCCAATGATATGAAGAGCATTCCTTGGAGGCTGTGTCAGTCCATATGCAATAACATGAAAAGAACTAAGAAAACCAGAAGTAGTGAAGGAGAATAAATGGTTTCTTAATAAATCCTTCACTTACAGAAGAACTTGTCTGTTACACTTTTTTGTACGTGTATAAAACCAACATTTTTTTCCATAAGTATTCATGGATTGTGAGAAAAGGGAATGCTGATTCTGAAACAAAGAATAATTTTCTGGGTCAAACTTTTATGTGTAAAGCATATGTGGTGGCTCTTTTTGTGTGTGTGTGTGTGTGTGTGAGATTTTGTTTTAAATAGAAGGTTAATTCTACAATTTAAATAGGAGCATTCTTTCAAATGCAAACTGAAATAAAATGACTGAAGTAGATAACTGACTTATGTTGTCCCTGTTTTTGTCAGCCTTCTAGCAGCGGGCGAGCTGCAGAGCTCCTCGCCAAAGAACGTGGAACAGTGCCTGGGTTTATTGGCTTTGGAACATCTCAGAATGATCTAGGATATGTTCCTGCAGTTCAAGGAGCAGAGGAGATAGACAGCCTTGTGGATGCTGATTTTCGAATGGTGTTGCGAAAACTTTCTAAAAGGGATATCACAACAAAATTAAAAGTAGGTATATCCTTTGTCCTCTCTGTGGGAGAGGAATATATCAAGATAGTTAATACTAATTTCATATTGATAAATTTGCTAAAGCTGCAATCCAGAATGTATCTTGGAGGGCTTATGAAAAGGTCCGTCACGCAGTGCTGATGGAGCATTCATAAAAGTAATTAGATTCTGTAGAAGCATCTAATTAATCATCTAATCTGTAGATGCTTAATTGCAGGAAATTAATTGATTTTTGAAAAAGAGAGTTAGACTGTATGGTAGCAGCTGATAAATTACAGGACATCTATTTGAATTCTTAAATCATGCTTTTGATATTTTTTAGGCCATGCAAGAATTTGGAACAATGTGCAAGGAAAGGGAAGCAGAAGTTGTTAAAGGTGTTCTTCCTTACTGGCCAAGAATTTATTGTAAAATCTCACTGGTAAGTATTAAAGTATCTAAATTAAAAAGCTCTGTGGATACTTCCTGTAGAAATGTCTGGGGTGGTCTTTATTGATATATCTAACTATGTTGGAATTACTGACTTGTTCTAGAAACAGACGTGAAGTTGAAGGAAAGTAATGTTCTTTATTGTGGAGATAATGTCAGTATTAGCAGTAAGTGGAATCTTGAACTGTTGAAATCTGGGCTCTACTTACTGGATAGAGATAGCTGTTCATTAGACCTTTATGTTTAAAAGATGACATTTCTCTTCATTAAAAGTTCTTTTATGTCACTTCCAGAATGGCTAAAGAGAATGTGCTCTTATAAATATTTTGATCTAGGACTAATACCTGACTAGACTTAAATAAATAAATAAAAAAGCAAACAAAACCAAACAAATATTGGACAAAATTAATCACAATGTTGATTTGTGAGAGGAAGTTCTAGTGTTTCTTTCAGGAGCCAAGAGCATAGAAATGCATGATGATATAAATTCACACACAAAAATTGGATAATAATGCACAGATTATGTAGGCTTATAGTTATTTTAGTCAAGAAAGTGTCTTCAGGTCTTCCTGTTTCTCTTGCCTCTTGTCTTTTTGTTAAATGTTTGTTTAAAGTGAAAATAGAAACTGTCATTAGGGATATTGGGAAAAGGCTACAGTTTTGAATTTATAACGCATTGGGAATACAGTGCTGCTGAGCTGGAACTATCCCTGTACCTAGGGTTACAAAGACTTTTGTCGTGTATTTTCAAATCTGTGTAGCCCAATTCTTTGCAAAAATGGCTAAACTGAGACACAGCTTTTTTCTTCATCATTACTTCTGCTTTGAAGTACCTCTCAGTCAAGGTATAATTCTTAAAACAAACATTTTTTTTTTTTTAAACAGGATCATGATCGCCGTGTTCGAGAAGCAACTCAGCAGTCTTTTGAGCAACTGATTCTTAAAGTAAAGAAGCACTTAGCCCCCTACTTAAAAAGTATCATGGGATACTGGTTGATTGCTCAGTGTGACACTTACTCACCTGCTGCTTCTGCTGCAAAAGTAGCTTTTGAAAAAGCTTTTCCTTCAAGCAAGCAACCTGAAGCCTTAGTATTTTGTAAAGATGAAATTCTTAACGTGAGTTTATACTCTTCTATTTCTTTAAGGCTCTGTGTTGAGTATATGTCATTTTTTATTACAAGTTTAAAACTCATCCTCTCCCATCTGCTCTTCATTGTTAAATTTCTTCCTTGCCTGAAACTTAGCTCCACTTAATGTGAAGACTGAGGCAAAAACACATCCTCTGTTTCTGTGACTTGCAGTTAGAATGACTGGAATCAGAGAAAAGAGTATGAAGCGAATTTTCTTGTGTGCATTTCTGTGTAATGATGCTCAGTCATCATGTAATGCTGACAGATGGAATAATGATGACAGGGTTTATCCTCAGGGGTAAAGGATTGAATGCTGAGCTGTGTATCAAAGAGCCTCTGCAAACTGAGTTCTGACCAGGGTTAATACTCTTCTGCCAGTCGTATATGAAACTGAACTGACTGAATTTAAAAAGGTCAAAGTTTGCATTGCTGGGCCATCATATGCAAACATAACCATTCTTGCTTTGTCTCAGTTTGGCTTCTTTTTACCAGAAGCATATTGGCATACAACTGCAGGTTACAAGATATTGTGAAGTCTTGGTTAAAACAGTACCACAGCTAATTTGTTCAGCAGGAGTCAGTTAAATCATATTTTTGTTTACTAGCATGTCTAAAATGTGTCTGAAAGACTTGACTTGGAGGTTGTGAAGTTTTAGAGCTGTTTCTGGAAAATATGAAGACTATCATCACGTGAAGACTGTTTTCATCCTGGACTATAGCAATAGCACAAAGGGTAATGTGTTTAAACTTAAACAAGGGAAGTTCAGGTTAGATATAAGGAAGAAGTTCTTTACTGTGAGGGAGGTGGAATGGGTTGCCCAAATAAGTGGTTAATGCGCCATCCCTGGCTGTGTTCAAGGCGAGGTTGGACAGAGTCTTGGGTGACATGGTCTAGTGTGAGGTGTTGCTGCCCATGCCAGGAGAGTTGGAACTAGATGATCTTAAGGTCCTTTCCAACCCTAATTATTCTGTGATTCTATATTATTAACATATAAACATCAGGTTCTCATGTGTAATATGTTGGGTTTTTTTTCCCGTAGGTACTTCAAGATCACCTTCTGAAAGAAACACCCGATACACTCAGTGACCCCCAGTACGTTAGCCTTCTCTAATGTATATGGTTTAAGTCTGTATTGGGTTCTGTGTTCCTGGAGATAGTGGATTTAGTTTTGTTTTAGGAGACAGAATAGTTATTTGAGTCCCAGCAACTTTCTCTGGGACTTAACATTATCAAAAGCATTTATACTTATAACTCTTGTTTCAGCTCTTTGAGGAATAGCATTTTTGAATAGCTGGAAGACAGATGACTTGAAACTCTCTTTTACTAACACTTTGTAATGTGATTTGGTAGTATCAGAACCTATGGAAAGTTTACATATGTACATTGCTGGTCTCTGAAATCAAAAGAATGTAGAACAGCTCAAGACAGTTTAGTTTACTCAGTTTAGAAGAGCTTGAGAAGCCTTCTGATTTATTTATGGTTCACTTAAATTTGTTTTGCTTTGCTTTCTGAGAACTGTACCAGAGGAAGAAAGGGAAGCTAAATTTTTCCGGATTCTGACCTGTTCGTTGTTAGCTTTAAAGAAGTTGCTGAGCATGTTGCCAAAGACAGAGGTGCGTTCTCTGGAGGAAAAGTTAATGTCACTTCTGTCCCAAAGCAAGTTTTGGAAATACAGCAAACATAACATGCCACAGGTGACTTTTTAATTTATTTCTTCTTTTGGTTGGTTTTAGCTAAAGATAATACACTGAGCCTAAGCCAGTGTTAATTACTTGTATCCTACAAGAGTGAACTTTGTCCTTTGCTGAATTATGTTTCAAACAGTCTTTGGATTTCTAGGCCTTAAATGGATAATATAATTTTAAACTTTGCCCAGTAGGCCAATCTGTTATTTACGTGTCACCACCATCTACTTCTTGGTAATTTTCTGTCATTTCAAATTAATGTAAAAGATACAGACTGTGTCATCTTACTGAATGTGTTCTTAGTGCTTTTTGGAGGTGTTTTGTTTGGGTTTTTTTAAACCATTTTATTGGTCTTTGGTCTGCTAAGACCAATGGTGCATAAAGTAATTAATTGATTCCGGTATTTTGTTAAAAGTTTTAAGGTGCATTTTGGAAACGTGCCTTTTGAGAAGTATATTAAAACAAAATTTTTAAGGAGCATTTTATAGCTAAAAAATTACTTTTGAATGTTAAACAGGTTTATCAATTAATTTTTCTTTATTTTTGATGTTTAAATGTTTGATGATGTGATAAAATATGGGAATCGTGAGTTGTAAATTATGATGACTTTGAAAGGAACGTGGAAAAACTACAACAGAGTGTTGTAATTTGACTTAAATTTAGTGGTGTGTTGTTTGTTTTTTTTTCTGTGGCCTGTATCAGGTTCGCTCAGCTTTCTTTGAGCTGGCTTCTGCTTTTTGCCAGTACTTGCCTGAGCTGGTGAAAGCTGAAGCACCAAGAGCTTGTACTGCTGTTCTTCTCAGCATTGATGACAGTGATGCAGTGGTGTGTCCTGCTCTTTGGGAAGCTGTACTTTATGCTATCACTACTATTGAGGTAATGTGGGAAATCTTAAGGGGCAGATATTTTGCTTGAATTTAACTTCACCAAGTGCCATTGTTCTCTGTGTAGAATTAGGAAGAACAGCTTGACTGGGTTTTCTGTATGATTAATAACGTGAACTTATCAATGCTACATGCTCCTTTCTCCCCACCCCCCCCACCCCCTTAGGGTTTCAGTGTAACTTTCAAATATGTTGTATTCAGCATGTCTTAAAATCAGATGTTCTATGAGTTTAGTCAAATTAACCTGAATCCCTTTGAGTAAATATAATTATTAATAAATAAAACAATACCTAAAACCTTTTTCTTGGTTAAAGACAGTTACAGAAATGACTTGATATGCATTTTTGGTTTGTTTGTTCTCTTCTAATTTAATGTTTGGTTCTATAACTTTGGTAGACTTTTTTTTTTTTTCTTTTTAAGTGAAATACCAGCTTTGAATTTATTAGCAGGATGAGTGGTGTTGCCATAGACTGGGATGTTTTGAGGGCTTAATGCTGCTGATCTCTTTTGTAACTGCTGGTATAAACTATAACCACTTGTGGGGGATTAATTGTTCAGCTTTGTTTTTCAGCTTGCTATAAACATAGGTATCTGAACTATGATAAATCAGATGAGATGACAAAAAACTTTGGAGTATGGGGATAAGCGCCAAGTCATTTTTTAACCATCAGAAAAATTCTGAGGGGAATTTTGAAGTTAGTGGTGCTTCTAAAGTTAGGATTTTGAAATCATTGCTTATTCTTAATAAGAAGAACTCAAGATTAAATATAGGACCAATGAGTTACAATGATTTTTACAAAGCATCCTTAAAGTAATTATTAAAGAGAAGCCTTTAAGTGCATTTTGCTAACAAGGAAGGGCAATTGGTGTTAAACAATGCAGGAACAGTTTTATCATGTTAACTTAAATTTGCAAGCTGAGGTAGGGAGACAGTGTTTCTTAAAAATAGTGGTAAGTGAATTTAAATTGTACAATAACTAGTTTCAGCTACAACACAGGGAGGTATATTAAATATCTAGCTTGGGAGTTCTTTCAAGACAACATATTCCCATTTAATTTACAACAAGTGTATTTCTTTCTGTAGGACTGTTGGGCTCATGTAAATGCCAAAAAGGGAGTTCTGCCAAAGCTGTGGGCAGTGCTTCGAGAAGGTGGACGAGGACTAGCTACTGTTATATACCCAAATCTCTTGCCGTTCATTAGCAAGGTACCTGCTGGCATTGCAGAACCAAAGCTGGAATATTTCAGGACTTTTTTCAGCTCTATAATTCAAGGGTATGTACTACAAAATTATTTATTTGTTCTGAAATCAGTTTCCTTTACATTTGGAAATAGGAGAAGTAGTAATTTTTAAGTATTTAAAGATGAATAACAGCTCAGAGTTGCTCAATCTCAAACTGGCTATGGTGAAATTTTTTGTTTCGTAGTTTGTTGGGTTTTGGGTTTTGGTTTGGTTTTTTTTTGCCTTCTTCTGTAATGACAGAAAGTGATACTTTTGAAGCCTCTGAGGTGTGTGTAGAAGATTGCAAAGGAGTTTTGACAAACAGCTGAAACAGTAGACAGTATGCTTGACCAGATATGTTTCCTTTATTAATGTAGTGTTGGGTTTTTTTGTGAATGCTAAAGCTACATGAAAAAGTTATTTTAATGTAAATTACATTAAATACCTGGATGTATTGTTTGGATGCTTTAAATATTATTGAATTTGTTTTGATTTGACATCCTGTCAGTGATTCTGTGATTCTATATTCTTACATTGATGGTATCTGGATAAGAGCAGCATAACCAAGTTTACATTCATGACACACATACTGGGTTTCTTAGAAGCTTGTATGACTGAGTTTCACTCCCTCCAATGTTGCCTTTCAATAGGTTGTCAAGTGAGCGAGCAATAGCCAGCCCTTCAGAAAGTTCAGCAATTATAACTGCTTTTATGGAGTGTCTGCGCTTTGCCATACTACAGAAAATAGATGAAGAAGATGACCAAAGGCAAATTCATCAAATGCTTGTATATGACCAGGTATTTATTAGAAATATGTGGTATTGAGTGTACATTCAATAACTCCAAGTTGAAGAAAAATGTACATTTCTGTGGGGATTACTTCTGTGTTGAAATTTTCACTAGATTTTATGGAAAAAAAATAGTTCTACTGAATTTAGTAGGTTTTTTCCTTCCTATAAAATACCCCTTTAGTGTGCAGTTTAAATTATATTAAAAAAAAAAAAAAAGGCATCCCGCCCTGTATATTTTTATTAAGTGTTCAAGCTTGAGTAATTCTAATGTTTTCAGAAATACTTCTGAAATGTTTTTCCAGATTGTTTGCTGGTATCATAAAGAGTAAAATGATAATTTAGTTGGATCACTGTTCTTTAATAACTTTTTTTGTCTTCATAGCTAATTCCTCTCACCAATGCTGTACTTAAGGAGCCCAGGTTACAAAATGGACCATTATTTTATCAAATAGCAGAAACGCTGAGCTCCTGGGAAGGTAAAGCAGAACTCCCCAGTGATGATGGCACGGATGAAGTTTTCCAGAAACTGTTGTCAAATTTTTGGGACCATCTTTTAAAAATGTGTGTGCTTCATGTTGATACATTGGATGCTGATGAGAAATCATTGTTTGCCATATCTGGTATGCTAAAAATTCTTCAGAATCCAAAAGGTGCTACAAAACTAAACAACAGAAAATCTCTAAAAATCAGATTTACAGATGAGGATGAATCTGAAAGAAATGCAGAGAATGGAAAGGTTATGGAAATGAGAAATAATGACTCTGAAATAGAGGCTGACTTGCAGCATAGTTCACTTCTAAGGAAAGAACCTTTAGAGAATTTAGTCTGCAGCCTTGCTGAACTGAGTATTGTGTATGTGAATGAACAGAAGTCAGACCGGCATTTGAAATTTCTCTCTGCCCTGCTTAACTCTTTTTCATCAAATAGAGTTTTTCAAGTACTTTTAGAGCAGGGCAATGATGCAAGCTCTACTCAAGCTGAATCCCCAGATGAAATGAAAGTTCATTATGAAAATCCATCTGTGAGATTTTTGTATATGAATTTAATAACTTGGCTGAAAGAAGACTGGAGGAGAGACACCCATTTTCTGGTTGACATTTTGTACAGTGTGCTTAATTGTTGCGACAGTAATGATGAAAGGAAAATCATTCTTGACAATTTAACGAAGGTATGACTTTTAATTTTGTTAGTAGTTTTTATCAGAGTGGCTAGTCTTTTTGTGGGCTGTGGCTAGTTAATTTTACTTTGGAAGATAATCCACATGAACTTGATAAGTTAACAGGTAAATTTAGGGAAGGTTGACATAGCAGTGTTGTGTTAAAAGGTCGATGCATATCCCTATCTGTATGGTATAATCAATAAAGTAACACCAGAATTTCTCTGGTCTTGCTGCTTTATACAGTGTGCTTTTATAATTGGTAGCCTTTCTTACAAATATAGACCCTTTCTTATAATTCATATAAGTAAATATGCACAGTAGAGAAGGACTTGGAAGCCAAAAATAACATAATCGCTAACTTTGTTACTGAAATGTAGCAGCTTCTTCTATCCCTTATAGAAAAGTTGTAAACAGAGTTTAAAAGGTATGAAATACTTCCTGTTCAGCAAAGAATTTGTTAAATATTATGGAATTTTGTTTTATTTTTCAGATGGATTTGAAATGGATTATTTTTCTCCAGATAATTCAAAAGGTACCTCTTAAGACTTTTTTAGTCTTGTTTTGAATATTTCCCTGACGTTACCTTTTGAGAGTTGCATGTGTTTGAAAATTTTGTTATTTTTTTTTAAAGTGGTGAGAATTTCAGTAGTTTGAAAATCTTGTACTAATACTTTGAGTGTTCATTTTAGCAACAAATGGTAAAACTGCATTTAGTGCATTTAAATCTGTGGACGGTTTTAAAAATTGAACTATGGTACCAAAACAAAATCATCTTTATCCCTTCTGTTTTTGTTAGTTGAGCCGGAGGGATTCCTGATTTCCTTCTGGTTATTCCTTCTAAGAGAGAGAGAATGGAGTTGAGTAGTAGACCGATCGTTAAAAGGATTATTTGTATAATCACTCTCACATCAAGCTTACAAGGGAAAGACAATATTCCATTTTTCACACGGGGTACTGAGAGACTGACATTTATATGATTGCCTGGGATGAAATATGAAGCATATTCCAAGTTTTTGGACAAGAACTCATAGCATTTGATTTGCAATCCAGTGGATTGACCACAGTATCTTTCCTTACAGATAATGTATGTTTTTGGTATCCGCTTTTTTTTTTTGTGATATTGTGCCTTTTAATGGCTTATCACCAAAATAATTTTCTGGTTTGCATCTTATTTATTCTTAGAGAAATTCAGATACACTAAACAGATTTTATGTTGCAAATGGATGACTAGGTTGGCTGAAATGAAATGTAAGTTATCTTTATAATGTCAATGTAGGTGTTCCCTGGGTTCTATAGTTGGAGAAAAGGGAAAAAAAGGCTTTCAGAAGGTGACTTGTTTCACTCTAAAGTAGAGGTCTAACCTAGCCTAAGTTGCTGTCTGACAAAAAAGAAAGTTGGGGGTATTGTTGCAGGTGTAAACACCTAGAGGCTTATTGTTTGACAGATAATACGATTCCCACTCTGTATGTGCAGGTTTGGCATATTGGTCTAGTGCTTAGTAATAAAAGTTAATATCCCAAAAGATTATTTTCTTGTGATTCAGGCATGCTCAAGCACAACAAAACTTTCCTTAGTCTCTGACTGGCTGAAAGGAGATACACTTGGAGAAAGACTTGTAATGCTGACAGATGATTTGTGTCACCTGGGTTTAAAACCTGTAGCCACCTCATCAGACTCATTCTCTTCTGAAAGGTGGACCCTCCTGAGCTTAGTGTTGTCGCAGCACGTTAAAAATGGTGAGCATATTTATTCCTTGGAGTTTGTGAAGTGTAAAGAGGGGATGTATTTGTGTTTGTTTTTTTTTACCTGAGCCAATTAACTATGTGAAGTTTAATTTTGTAAACACTAGATTGCAGCATTGACATTCTAATAGGTTTTTTTTTTTTTGTCTTTATTGCTAAACAAAAGTCAGTGTTTAAAGAGCAGATTCACATTTGCAAGTCTGGAAAACCTGAAGAAAATTTAAGAAAGTTTGAGTTATTAGCTGATGTGCTGTAAAGTAATACTTTATTACTTTACATCTGATATTTACCTTCAGAACTAGAATATCAAAGATCATGGTTATGGACCCATGCATGTGATGCTAATGCCTTCTTACAGGACCTATAAATTGCTTTCAGCCATTTTCAGTTAAATTCATGTACTTTAAAAACTCTCTGTGTGTGGATTTATGCTATATATGCAATCTATTTTCTATTAGTAACTTCCTGTTTCATGTCTTCATTGCGTTTTGTGGTATCTGTCATATAGACATCTAGTGGAGTTCAATTTCCTTTATGTTTTCCATGTAAACTTGTTATTTCTGTTTTGTTAACCTCAGCATTTGCTTTAATCCCTGAGGTAACATACTTTGGTTTATCTGAAAGCTGGGCACACTTGTGGTGCTTTCATGCATCAAAGATTGCATGCAATAAGTTGACTGCAGTGGATATTCATAGGTAGCGTATCCTGAAGATGTTGTAAGATTGTCACTTTGGCTACTGGAACTTCTGATGTAGAGGAGCAGCAGGAAAACCTGTTCCCTCTGTCCAGAGAGTTTTCAACAAACTTACTCACTTGTGAGTCAGTGGTACCCTAGGGCTGATTTTCCAGTAACTTTGCTTTTGGCTCTAGAGCTGGAGGTATTGCTGAGCTCATTTTGGGCTGTGTGACCTGGTTTTAATGCATGTTGGGTGAAGTCTAGACCTTCAGGAGCTATGGTGATTCTTGACTTAGATTTGGGCCAGAATAAAGTATATAGACTTTAAAACAGTCGTGGGGTTTTGGTTTGGTTTTTTTTTTGTGTGATCTCTCATCTAAATTTTTGAAGGTAAACTGTCGTGGAGTAAGTGGAAGGGCCTTTCATGGATCAGTAACCTATCAAATGATATGAATTAAAGGTGAAGAAAGTTAAATACTGGGACGATGATAACTGTTTCTGATAAATTATCAAAACTGACACTTCACAGAGCCATAGCAGTGTGTTATGTTCTTGAATGAATAACTGATATAATTACAGATGAAATTCAAACCCAGTAAATATCAAAAGTATACATGGGAAGAACACAACTGTAACTATCTGTTCAGTAATAGGCTCTGAGCTGTTAAAACTCAGAAAAGAGATCTTCAGTCATTGTAAAGGTTCTCTGTAAATGGTATTGTAAAGGTTCTCTGTAAATAGTGCTCATCAATGAAAAAAGGAATACAGCTTATTAGGAGTTGCTTGAAAAGAACAAGGGACAAACGAAAATTATTATAGCATTGGTGTGTCAATATTTTGAATGTTGCCTGTTGTTTTGGTCCCTGCAATATTCTTGTCACCTATATGCTGTTGAAAAAAAGTGTGATGGAATTAAAATGTTCCAAAAGAAAGATGGCAGGGGTTGTTAGGCAAATGCCGTGGCTTCTGCCTGTAGGAGCAGTAAAACAGACTAGAATTTTTCATCTTGCAATGAAAGTGATTGGGATGGGGTTGTGGTAAAGAGCCATAAAATCATAATATGTATGGAAAAAGCAAATAGGAAGAGGTTTTTCATTGTTTAGATAGGCTTAAGGAAAAAGGAAACTATAATTCTTCATACACTTCATAATTAAATAATAGAATTCGTTGCCACAAGAATTTGTGGAGTTTGAGAATAAATGGGATTAGCCTACTTCTATCCCATGAGAAATGGAGTAACTGTATTCATGGAAGATCTGTGTGATTGGGGTAATTAGGTGTAATTTCTGGCTCACAGTTGTTGGCCAGAAGCTAAGAAGGCGTAAAAGGGGAAAGGGACCACTCTGCACTTGCTCTATTTTATATATGTTTTATCTAAGCTGCTTCAGCTGGTTTAGAGAAAGGATACTTTGCAATGTGAAACTTTGGCTAGATGATCCTTTAACTGTGGAGTAAGAAAGAGAATTCAGCTATACATGAGACTGAAACGACTTTGCCCTTTATTTTGAATTCAAAATTAGTAAATAGAAAAAAAGGTGTGTATTTATGTGATGTCTCTTAATGATCATGTTTATCGAGTAATCAAAGCATGTTGTCTTTTCTTCTCCCTAATAGAATCTTTGATTGGTGAAACTTTTGTTGAAAGGATTATTGATAAACTTCAGGCAGCTCTGTCTAAAGCTAAGGATCTTTCTGAAGCTGGAAATACTGAACCATTGGTATCTCTCATCTGTGATGTAGCCTCAAGCTTTTTCAGTTCAGTTAAAGGGTGTTTACTGATGCCATCCTCAGAAGACTTGCTGCTTACCATCTTCCAACTGTGTGCTCAGAGGCAGGATGCTACGCACTTAACAGGTAATTTAGAAAAAAACTTCAACCAAACTTTTTTGTGGTTGATGATTACATATGAACTCTTTTTTATCAAACAGATTATATAATAGAATATTGAGTTCATAGACATGGAGCTTGCAGCTGTAACTCACATCAAAATTTGTGCTTTAATTTACAATGTCAGTAGTTACTACTCAACATTGAGTAGTACATCATTACAAGGATTTAAACTTTTTTTTGATGTTAGTATCCCTATGCTTCAGCTATCTTTGCAGCTGTGATATTCAACACTTTTTGGAGTGTTACATAAACTATTTAAGATCTATGAAGTACAAAGAATGAGCTTTTATTTGTTCGTTCTGCAGTATGGGGTTCCTATGAAAAAATGTGTGCAATCACTTCATTAAAGATACATATGTTTATTCTGAAACAGTTTGTGTGGGTCAAGTTGCTCTGACAGATTGTGACTGATTCCTCTCTCCACCAGTGTCTCATTGTCAGCCTGAAATCCTGATTTATATTCTTTAGTCCAGAATTGGATGGTAAATCAGTGTATGTGTTTACTGACGTAGATGCAAAGGAGGAAATGTTGCAGTGGAGCCATAGAAGTGAAGTAGGATAACAATAGCCTGAAAACCACTGTTGCTTTGTAAATGACTCTGTTGTGAATGTTCAGTATTTCAGTATCTTAAAAAAGCTCTTTGGTTTTGAAGACCATAAGACCATAAACCAGAAGACAACAGGAACATCCCTCTTAAATAAATACTACTTTTGTGGTGGGCTTATGTTAAAATTGCTGTACAAGAAGAAACTTGTGTATTTGTCTTTGGTAGTTGTTGCATGTAACCACATAGAAAAATGAATTCTTTTTCTGCTATAGGACTTGTAGACATGTGATTGTTGCTTGATATTGTAGGTTGTAATTTGAGTTTACCTGTTTGTGGTGGATTTGCTTGTGCTTGTCATTTTGTTTTTTCTTTTTATTTTCTTTTTCCCTACAATAGATTTACTTTTATGTAAATTAAAACACACTTGGATGTCTGGAGTAAATTCACTTGTGCATCAACTTCGGAGTATGCAGAAACAGAGTACCTTCTTGCATAAATCTGCACTGTGGGTCAAGAATCAAATTCAGTCTTCTTCCTTGGATGTTAAAAGGTAATTGTGATGTAAATGTCCATTTCATAATATATTCTCCAAAACAAAGTAAGATCAGTGCTATACTATTCTTTATTTAATTAGCATTTTACTAGTAAGAGATGTTTCAGCCTGTCAGAGGTGAGAACTGCAGGTGGAGCATCATTTAAAAAGCCATTTCTATAGTATGTATACAGTATTGATACAAAGTATCTAGCATTGATACAACGTACATAGCATTGTATCAATGTAAAATAAAGCCGCTTGCTTTTACTGGATAGTGTCAAATGGATAGTGTCAAACTTCCGTTGGCAGTGTTTTCTCCTTATCTCAGCCTTCAGGTTTTGATCTCTGCAGTTAGTGATTTGCTGTCTAAGCTTATGGAAGCTGACCGGCAGTCTGGATATCTTGTGGGAGCTTATGTTGAACATGTCATGCCAAACAAAACTGAGTGGGAGAAATTGCACGAACCTCTGTCTACTGAGGTATGAAAATGGTAATAGACTTGCATGCAATAGTCAATCTTACCTCAAGTCTGTGTTCTTTAGGGTGGTAACCATTCTTTATTTGGACATGGCACTGCAGTAACAAATATGCACATGTCTAGGCAAAGGTTCTTTTCAGTCTCTGCCAATGATAGAGGACAAATTCTGTTTGTTTATGGTCCCATCCAGTATTACTGCAGAAAATAATAATCATTCTTTTCTGCATGGAACACCAGCAACTTGCTTTACAGTCCAGGAAATTTTATCTGACAGAATATGTATCATGAAGATGCTCTTATCTTTCATTCTTCTGTAAGACAAATTTTGTGAAAAACACTGATATTTGCAGAGAAACGTGATGTACTGACTCTAAACAAAATTCTGATATGCATACTGTGGAAAGTGGGGAAGGACTAAATTTTCTGTCTAACCAGTTATCTTCATTAACTATAGTATTTCTTGTAAAATTATTACAGTTCAAAAGATCCATATTTATTTCTGAGGCAGCAATGCAGTTTCAAGCTACTGTTGTGCATTTAGGTTTTCAAATAGGACGGAGTGGGTCACCATGACCATTGTGCTTTTGGTGTTCATTTGTGTCTTTCATGGTTATTTTTTTAACAATTCTGAATTTTCAAGGTTAAACAGATCAAAGCTCTTCTATGCATCATTAAAATGTAGATTATTTGTTCATACTCTTCTTATGCATGTATTACAGTGGATGCACAAGCCTCTTTTGGAAGGAAGGCTTAGTATGAATTGTGAACCCTTGGCATCATGTGTCAAGCTGTGTGACACAACTAAACTTCCAGGCCATCTGTGTACTTCAGCCTTATTAAGTAAAATGGTGCTACTTGTATTGGAAAATGATACAGTCCATGAAAATTGTGATGTTGAAAGAAGGAAAATAGATAATATAAGTAAGTGGTAAAACTTAAAGGATTTTGATTTTATAGTAGTTGGAAATTAATCTGAATTGATAATTAGAAAGTGTGTATTTAAGGTTTGGCACATAGGTATGAGAAGTCATCCTTTTATCTCTTGAAAAGTATAAATAATGCACAAGTGTAATGTAATATATTTCCAGGGCCTCTTGTGATTACATACATGCTGTCTCAACAGGACTTTGAATTTGGAGGTTTCAATTTACAATGAACTTCAGAGTTGTTCATTGCCAAAACATGTGGTGCATTGGCATGAGTGGGCAATAGGAACTTTATCTATGCCATCAAATAAATGCCCTGAGTATTTAGCCATAACATAAAGATATTTTGAGGCAGCAGTTTTTCTTAATTCTATCAGGTGGAATCTTGTTTCTTTATAGAGGGCTCAAATTAGAAGCAGCATTATCAAATTAAGTGGAAGTCTCACCATGATGAGAAGCATAATTGTTCAATAAGCTAATAAAGAAAACACATGCTGTTAGCATAAAATTTATTTGCTCTCTGGACTTAAATCTTAAGTACCTTGTCTGCAAGAAATATGTATATGTATATATAAAGAGAATAGAGACAAGCTACAGTTCTTGTCATTCTTGATTTACTTTCAAATATCCTGAACATATAGAATAAGTTATTGTAGCTTTTTCTTTTGTATTTCATGATGCTCATGTTTATGCTCTGTAGCAGCTGAAATTGCATGTAAATATCTTTTTTTTTTTTAATGCATTTAAAAAACAAAACCAAAACCCAACAAAACCTTGACCTGAACATTCTTGCTTATGTACTGAATATATTCAGCAGTTGTTTGTAAGCAACAGCTTTTGTGGTTTGATTAGTTGCAGAACTCTTGTACTCATTACAATGGGTTGAAGAATTGGAAAATCCTCCTCCACTTCAGGAATATCTCCATATGTTAGAAGAAATACATGTCACCTATGAGAAGTTCAGGATGCTTAGTGATACAACTGGCCTTCAGCAAACACTATTTGACAGGTATGTAAGCAGAAGTAAACCAACTTGTCTGCATATTTGCATTTTATAAAGTGCCACCGTATTTCCTTATGTGTACTGACTCAAACTTCACATGCTTGTGTTGTGAACTGAACTGTTCATCTGTCGATATTAACCAGGGTCTTTCTTCTTCTTTGAAGATCAGAGGAACATGGAAGGCTCTGGTCCTTAACCCTGGCTAAAGTGATTCGTGCAGAAAATGCTGTATCCTGTGAGATGAAACAACTTTTTAAGACAACAGAAGGGTATTTTAATCCTGACGTTTTTAATTTTTTGTTTGTTGCAAATGTTGATAGTGTTAAATTATACTGATTCTGATGAATGACAATTGAAGACTGAAAATTTGGTAATATGTGTATGTTATGTAAAAGTGAGACTCAGCTTAGTGCCTGGGATTAGTTATGTCATAGGATCTTCCATCATTGTGAACCAATTGACATTTTGTTTACTAGTTGGATTTTTGGGGTTCATTCTATGATGTTTTGCTTGTATGAATAGGTTTCCGCCATTAACAGAGGGCAGATTACATACACTTCAGTGCCTGTCACCTTTTCTGCTTGAGGAAGAAAAGAACGAACTTGTTTTCCACTGTGTGGCCAAACTTATGACATGCACGCAGATAGAGCTTTCCAGCACCAATGGTGAGTATGTTCTTATCTCAGTCCACAAGAACTTAAGACTGTTACTTGTAATACTGTTTGCATTTAGAGAAAATCTGTTAATATTGGTTTTCCTAGAAATATCTTCTCAGTTTGCATGTTTCTGTATGGTTTAGCATAATAGTTTTCTGCTTTATTAAGGAAGTACAAGCAATACTGCCTGGTACAAAATTAGAACTAAAGTATTTAGGCTGATATTGTTAGAAGAATTTTGATACTGTTGTATTGTAATTGTCTGATTTAAGCATATCTATAAATACAGAAGTTTTCAATTAATCATTTAGGCTTCACACAACATGCAAAAATACCGCCAACTGGAAGTGTCATGATTGTATTTAGATGCTTTAGCAAGAGCTCTTTCACAGCTTATGCATGATTTTTTGAATAGTTCTTCCAGTGCATATAGTTTCAGCAGCTTTTGAAAAGTTACTTGGAGGTGATTGAGATGTCGTACGCTAAGCAATATTATAACACACTTTTAGTAGCACAAATATATTTAAATCATAGAGGATTTGTGGTTGGTTTGAAGTTCTTCGTAGGGTTTTTTTTTTTCCTAAAGTTTGGATTGGATATAGTGGTTTTGATTTAATGATGCCATCTCTGGATTAAGTGTTCAAAGAAGAAAGTGTAGGCATTGTCCAAATCGTCTTACAGTATTGATGTTAAGTTCAAATAAAAATAGTCAGTTGACATACATTTTAACACTTGTTATCTCTTGATAATAAAGGTCTAATGAGTATGGTATTTTTATTATGTTACAGGAGCATTTGGGTGTCTTTCCATTTTGAACTCCTGCTTGAATGATAGTAGTATTGATTGTGATCATCTACTACCTGGAATACTAAAAGTCATAATATCTTGGAAAAACAACAGTGAGGACAGTTTTCTCTTTAGCTGGTGGGTGCAACTTTGAGATAATTTGACTTTCTTTTAATTTCTAAAATGAGTTGTTGTGGTTTAACCCCAGCTGGCAACTAAGCCCCACACAGCCACTTGCTCATTCCCCCCGATGGGGTAGGGGAGAAAATCAGAAGGGTAAAAGTGAGAAAATTTGTGGGTTGAAATAAGGACAGTTTAATAGGTAAAGCAAAAGCTGCATGCATGAGCAGGGCAAATCAAGGAATTTGTTCACCACTTCCCACTAGCAGGCAGGTGCTCAGTCATGTGTGGGAAAGCAGGGCTTCATTCACCGCATGTTAACAGTGACTTGGGAAGACAAACACCAACACTCAAAACTCTCCCCCGCCTTCCTTCTTCCCCAGCTTTATATGCTGAGCATATGTCATACAGTATGGAATATCCGTTTGGTCAGTTGGGGTCAGCTCTCCTGGCTGTGTACCCTTCCAACTCCTTGTGCAGCCACAGCCTGCTCCCTGGTGAGAAGCATAAAAAGCCATGGCTCTGTGTGAGCACTGCTCAGCTAGAACATCCCTGCATTATCAACACTCTTTTCAGCACAAATCCAAAACATAGCCCCATAGTAGATACTATGAAAAACATTAATTCTGTCCTAGCCAAAAAAGCACGAGAGTTTAAAAGTACAGAGTGGTTATTAACTTAACAAAATCAATTTGAAAGTTACAACTGCCATCCAGTACTCTAACGTTACATTTTTAAGCCATTGTAGAACTGCATCCCTTAGTTCAATATACCTGTCTTCATGTATCTTATAACTCATGCTGAAGAAAATTACCTGGGTGGTTGAAGTCTAGGAAACTAGGAACTTTTTTTAATGCACCTAGGTATCAAATTTTTCAAAACATTCAGAAGTGACCAATTTTTGTAGGTGTTGCTCCTAATTCTGGTTGCATATTTAGGTACCAGAAAGAAAACTTGAATAGTAAACTTAGGTGGTTGTCGTTTAAAATTCTGTATCTGCAAATGTAGCTTGGAAATCTTCCATCAAAGAGTGAAAATATACTGAGGTTCATTTGTCTTGAGTATAGTGAGAGAAATCCAGGCCAGAGTCTCAAAATAATATATGCTATTTGGACACTTGAGTACTTCTATCTTACTCTTAAAATCAGTAACTTAAATGATGATTGCATTGATGTAATTAAAATTGCTAAATTTCATAGTTCCATGTAAGTGTATTACTTGAGCAAATATGTAAAATGTACAATTTTTAGAAATATTTTTAACATGCAAATGAGCAAGTAGCTCCTACAGTCTCTTTTGTACCTGTTGACTGGCTTACTTAAGCCTGACAGCTAATACAGCATTCTAACTTTGAAAGACGGAGGGAGTATCAAAAGCACATAGGGCAGAGTCTACTGCAACACTTAACTTGTCCTAAGAGGAGTGAAGACAAGAATATAAATACTCATGTTTACAACATGAAGATTTGTAAGCTTTAGTTGTATTTTTATTACAGTAATCTGAAAGAGACAAGTGCTCAATTGCTTGGTTTCAACATAGAGGTGATCCGTTACATTCCCTTGTTGCTGAAGTATTCCATAGCTCCTTTGGACAACAGTGAATGGGACTTCATCATGTGCTCCATGCTGGCTTGGTTAGAGGTAATACGAAAGAGATTATTACTAACCATTGCACTGCAGCTTTTAGTAGGATCCTCCTGATGCCCTCCAAACCTGATGGATTGATGCAGGGGAGGGGGAAGGGGGAAACAACTGAAAAAATAGGCTACAAAATACTGAATTTTTGTAATCTTATTGGGCTGTCTGATTGAAATTTCATCCTAAATCTTTTAAAAGTTTATGTTGAAAGTTCGCCTATCTACAAAGTGGAAAGTTGGGTATGATACAATAAAACGCTATAGAAGCAATGCCACATAGCAATTTGAATAAGATGCATGAGGATTACCAAGAGGAATGGAAGTCAGAGTGTTCGTAATGTTTCAGTCTTAGATTGTAGAACATGGTGGGGCTTTACAGCTTTAGTTTCATCTGGTGTGTGTTAACTTTATAGTATCTCAGAGTAATGATTAGTATTAATAGCTGGGTACCCAGCATTTTGAGGATAACTTATTTTACATATCTCTATTAAGATATGCAACTAAGAACATAAACTCTACCTACTGCACGAGTGCTAATGTTGCATCTTCACTTTTGATGTACTTACCTTTTTAGATTATTCCCTGCATGTGGCAGGGACATAGTCATCTCATCTTAGCAAATATTTGTCTCATTGTTGAATTGCACAAAATCCTTTTTTACTGAGCATTGACAAAAGTCATCTATCGCTTAAAGGCACAAGCAATACTAAATCTCTGGTTTCTTTTTGTTTCTGGAGATGAAATTACCTTACTCTTGAAGCAATATGATGTTTAGCGATGGCACTGGTGGTTGGAAAATAATTTTGAAATATGTCTGCTGTAGGTCTCTATGTTGAAAAATAATATCCCTTTAAGACCAAATTCTAATATGACATATAAAAATTATCTGAATGTAAAGCAGTATCTGCATTGCAATATTAAACTGATCACCTGAACCATCAAAATGTATTCTGGCAGTGTTAGAAAACAGGTTAGAGTGAACAGCTGACTACTTTATTTGTTAAATAAGTATGCAGAATCCCTCACCCTGTCACTACTAAGGGCAGGCCGAAAACTTCCATGTGGCCTTTCTTGGTCTTGGGATTAATCTCCTTACCTATGCTGTATATGCAGAAAACCACAACAAACAAAACAGCAACAAAAAACCAAACCCAAATAAACCCAAACAAACAAAAATCCAACAAACGTGTATGAAAAAATTGTTGCATAGATAAGTGCTTGGGAATAGTTTTAATATTTAATGTTATTCCTTGGGGGAAAATAGTAAGAATATGAATTAGAAGAATAAACTCTGCTGGGAGAGAGGTAATGTTCTCCTGATAGCCACTTCAGTAATTTCCAGTTTACAATAGTGTATTGTCAATTTCCTTCTGCAAGTTGGAAATACAAGTATGATATCCATACGGCTTTTGTCTTTGGGAGAGGAAAGTGAGAGCACTTTACATACCAGTTTTGTCTCACTTGGCTGCACAAGTGCCACAGAAAAGCTCAGCTGCATAAATTTCTGTTTGAATCCACTTGGTGGCAGTTTCTGTCATTGAAAAGAAGGTCACATAAAGGAAGCAATCCAGGATTCTAAATGTTGATGAGACTTGGAAATTCATTTCAGTAGGTCTTGCTAAGATAGAGATTACATTTTTAAACTTTCCCCCAGTCATATTAAAATGGCCTTTGCAATTGAATTTTCTTGGAAATTACACTTTCTGGTGTACACAGCAAACGTGAAACATATTTTAAAGCAAATTTATGGTTAAGATATCGTTCTCTTATTTTTTCCTTTTAGACAACAAGTGAAAACCGTTCACTTTATCATGTCCCACTTGTGCAGATTTTTGCTTGTGTCAGTTGTGACTTGGCATCTGCCCTTAGCTCTTACTTTGAAGCTGCAACTTCCAAAACTACTGAAAACCTTCCTGTGAACTTGATCAGTGAATGGAAAGAATTCTTTTCTGAAGGAATTCACAATTTGCTATTACCTTTGTTGGTGAAAATCACAGGCAAGTATATGGCAAGGAGGGTCATAGTGGTACCCATCAGGCTATTCTGAAATATAACCCAGTGGGTCGTATTTTTTAATTTATAGTAATATTATGTCAACATAGCTTATAAAAACTTGCCTTTTTTAACACTTACATGCTAATTAGTAAAGTAACTGCACTTAACATTGTTATTCTTAAGTTTAGGTGGATTCTGATAAGTGCCATCTGAGTTCATAGTAATGCTTGTTTATGATATCATCCATACACACTGTCACAGCTCATTTTTCTGTATTTTAAATAGGAGAAACCAAAAACGCATCTGAAGGCTCTTTTCAGAACTCTGTGTTAACGTCTTTGGGTGAAGCTCTAACTTACATCTCGAAGGACCAGCTGTTAAACCATAAATTGCCAGCAAAGTTTGTTGCAGGCCAAAAAACAAATCTTCCAGATAAGCTCCAGACTCTACTAAATACATTATCTCCACTGTTGCTTTTCCGGGCTAGACCTGTACAAATCTCTGTCTACCACATGTTTTATAAGTAAGAATCAGCAATTTCTCACTTCTGTCACCTTCCATCCCATGTTTTTTTTTTCTAATTAAAAAAACCCAAAACACAACAAAACCAAGGAAAAACCCAACAAAGCCCAAACGAACCAACCAAACGAAAAACCAAACCCAGAACCATTCTGTAGAACATGCACTTACAGATGTATGTTTAGCAAACTCATATTCAATCATGGGAGAAAATCCTTAACTGGGCAAATTTGCGTTCTGTATTGGAGGATGTTATATAAAACTATGAATGCTAAATTTAATTGTAAAAGTAGACTAAATAGATACTGAGAAATTTTACTGCAGTAACGAACATACAGTCATGCAGTTTTATTTTCTGTACTGTACTTACATAGATAACAGTATTGTAACTATAAAGCTATTTATTTTTAGTCCCTATTCTAATACTTGTAGCATCCTAAAATAAAAACTGAATTAGTCCAGGTTTGATCTAGGTCTGACTATTGTTAAATCGTATGGCCTTTTTATTTTAACTAATTCAGAATAGAAAGTAAGAAAGTGAAATAAAATGTGTAGTCTTGTGAACTTTCTGGATCCCTCTAATACCAAAAGAGAGAATACAGAACTTGAAAAATATTGTGCACATTTGACTGCTCAAAATGCAGGTTGTGAAGCAGGTGGTTTAAGCATAAGAAGCTCCCATTATCTTTCACTTACATTGATGCATAAAGTTGCAGTAGCTTTATTCCAATAGAAAAGTTAATTGAGAATAGTGTGACTCAGGAAATATAGAAAGTCTGGAAAAGAACTGAGCAAGGCTACATGCTCGTTGGCAGTCATTCAGGAGCCATCTTTGCATTGGTGACATGACTCTTAAAAATTCTGTGTTCTTAATAATGAATAATTGCCGTTATTGCTTTTCATTAACTTGACACTGATAAGCAAAGAACTGTGCATCATAGTAAAAATTAAATCTGATTTTCTTTCCATATTTCTGTAGATTAATGCCTGAATTGCCAAAATTTGATGATGAAGATCTGAAATCATATGGTGACGAAGAGGAAGAATCAGCATTGTGAGTATTTTTATCTCATGGGTTTTTTGTGGCTCTTCTGTATTTTTAAAATGCGCTATAGCAGTTGAGATTAGCAGCATAGTGGTCACCTCTCAGGAGATTTAAAAAAAAAAAAGATATGGCTATGGCAGTAGGGTAATATTAAAAATACTAAAATTAAAAAAATACTCACTATAATTGATTAAATCTGCCTTTGTGCTAAAACTACAAGCAATATTTGCAGTTGTTTTCTAGGTACAGTTACTAGAGTAAGCACAATGTACATGATTTATATTGTGAAATCTTCACAGATTTTTACTGGACTGCTCTATTCAGACTGTGTCCAGCTGCACAGGTAGCTTCAGTTACCTGAACCTCCAAAACTGACCTTGGTATTGTATACAGCTTCAATATGACGATAAGTCAACAGTTTGAAGAGAAAGCATGGTAACTGTTTAAAAAAAAAAGAATAAAATCTTTTTTCTTCACATTACCCTAGGGATCAATGCCTACCTTTACTATAGAGCTGCAAAAGGCTTTTTAATCCAAACCCAAACCTAAACCCAACACATGCAGTGATTAGGAGATCCATTGTTGCCTTGCTCTCTTGTTGGTGTGACAAGCAAGCAAGCAAACCAGCTGTGCGTGGTCTAGGTTGAATTAGCTTATACACAGACCACTTCCAGGTTAAGCGGTCAATATTCAGTTTATGTTTGTCTTGCAAAAAAACTCAACTGTCTTTTAGGAAAAAGAAAATAAAAATGAAAAATCTTAAATTCACATATTTGTGATAGATTTTAAAAGTATTTTTTCCTGTAATAAAAGGTCCCTTTTATGTTCTACATACATAGTTTTACTGACATGACTTTTCTAGGAAATCTGTGAATATAAGTTCAGTTAATGCTCTGCTCAAGATTTGAATTTACTAAACCAGATAACACTTTTCCATAGATCACCTCCAGCAGCTCTTATGTCTGTCCTGGCCACTCAAGAAGTCTTGCTAGAAAACATCCTGGAATGCATTCCGGTTGGAGAATTTGCAGTTATTCAGCCCCTGAGTGATGAGTTCTGCCTTGTTCTGGGATACCTTCTCACTTGGAAGTTAACATTAGCTTTCTTCAAAGCAGCTTCTTCTCAGGTATATGTTGACTCCTTTCCTCTTAACTGAATTTCTTAATGTCCGTACTTGGTTTGAATCTTGATGTTTCATCAAGCCTTTTTATTCTTTTAATTATGCACGTATTGGTTTTGTGGAATTAGTGGAATTCTCAAGCATCAATAGATGTAGGAAAGCTGCTAGGATGACTAAGGCCTCCTTGGAATTAAAGCTGGCGAGAGGGGTCAAGGACAGCAGAAAGAGCTTTTTCAAATACATGGCAGGTAAAACTAACACCAGAGGCAATGTAGGCCCGCTGATGAACGGGACGGGTGCCCTGGTGACAGAAGATACAGAGATGGCAGAGTTACTGAATGCCTTCTTTGTCTCTGTCTACTCTGCTGGAGGCAGTCCTGAAGAGCCCTGTACTGCTGAGACCTCGGATGAAGATAGGTCAACGGAGCGGTCTGCCTTAGTCGATGAGGAATGGGTTAAAGACCAGTTGAGCAATCTGGACATCCATAAATCCATGGGTCCAGATGGGATGCACCTGCGGGTGCTGAGGGAACTGGCTGAGGTCATTGCTAGACCGCTCTCCATCATCTTTACCAAGTCTTGGGAAACGGGAGAGGTGCCTGAGGACTGGAGGAAAGCAAATGTCACTCCTGTCTTCAAAAAGGGCAAGAAGGAGGACCCGGGTAACTATAGACCAGTCAGCCTCACCTCCATTCCTGGGAAAGTGATGGAACACCTTATCCTTGGTGCCATCTTAAGGCGTATCAAGGATAAGAGGGTTATGAGGGGCAGTCAACATGGCTTCACCAAGGGGAAGTCATGCTTGACCAATCTCGTAGCCTTTTATGAGGAAATAACACGGTGGATGGATGATGGCAGAGCAGTGGATGTGGTCTACCTTGACTTCAGCAAAGCGTTTGACACGGTCTCCCACAGCATCCTTGCAGCTAAATTGAGGAAGTGTGGTCTGGATGATCAGGTAGTGAGGTGGACTGTGAACTGGCTGAAGGAGAGAAGCCGGAAAGTTGTAGTCTATGGGGTGGAGTCTAGTTGGAGGCCTGTATCTAGTGGAGTGCCTCAAGGGTCGGTACTGGGACCAGTATTATTTAATATATTCATCAACGATTTAGATGAGGGAATTGAGTGTACTATCAGCAAGTTTGCTGATGACACTAAGCTGGGAGGAGTGGCCGACACGCCAGAAGGCTGTGCTGCCATCCAGAGGGACCTGGTCAGGCTGGAGGGTTGGGCGGGGAATAACTTGATGAAATATAACAAGGGAAAGTGTAGAGTCCTGCATCTGGGCAGGAACAACCCCAGGTTCCAGTATAGATTGGGGAACGACCTGTTAGAGAGCAGTGTAGGGGAGAGGGACCTGGGGGTCCTGGTGGACGACAGGGTGACCATGAGCCGACACTGTGCCCTTGTGGCCAAGAAGGCCAATGGCATCCTGGGTTGTATTAGAAGGGGGGTGGTTAGTAGGTCGAGAGAGGTCCTCCTTCCCCTCTACTCAGCCCTGGTGAGACCTCATCTGGAATACTGTGTCCAGTTCTGGGCCCCTCAGTTTAAGAAGGACAGGGACCTGCTGGAGAGAGTCCAGCGCAGGGCAACTAAGATGATTAAGGGAGTGGAGCATCTCCCTTATGAGGAAAGACTGAGGGAGCTGGGTCTCTATAGTTTGGAGAAGAGGAGACTGAAGGGTGACCTTATTAGTGTATATAAATATATAAAGGGGGAGTGTCACGAGGATGGAGCCAGGCTCTTCTCAGTGGCAAACAATGAAAGGACAAGGGGTAATGGGTACAAATTGGAGCACAAGAGGTTCCACTTAAACCTGAGAAGAAACTTCTTCTCAGTGAGGGTGACGGAACACTGGAACAGGCTGCCCAGGGGGGTTGTGGAGTCTCCTTCTCTGGAGACATTCAAAACCCGCCTGGACACGTTCCTGTGTAACCTTATCTAGGTGTTCCTGCTCCAGCAGGGGGATTGGACTAGATGATCTTTTGAGATCCCTTCCAATCTCTAACATACTGTGATACTGTGATACTTTGATTTCTGCACTACAGTAGTTAAGGCTGGTAGTATTAGAATAATAAAGCATTAAGGTGCATTAATAGATGATTCTTGCATTTTCAAACAAGCTTGCTACTTTTACATTTTCTAATATTCAATGTGATGCAGAGAACTAAGTCACTCTTCTAAACACTTGTTCTGAATCATAATCTTGCTTTTCTTCCCTATAGAAACAAGTTTGTATTATTTATAGAGGAAGCTGTATTTGTTAAGTCTCATCTATATGTTATGGTTTTTGGTTTGACTTTTTTATTTTACACTATCAGCTGCGAGTTCTCTACTCACAATACCTTAGAAGAACTAAAAGCTTGAATAAACTGCTGTATCACTTGTTCAGGCTTATGCCTGAAAGCCCCATCTTTTCTGGGCCAACTTCAGAAGTTCCAAATAAGGACACAAAAACCTTTTTTACTGAAGAGCTTCGTTTAGATGTCAAAGGTTAGTAAAAATTGTAATTATGCATATTTTAATACATACTTTTTGAAATGTTTGCGACATTAAATTATGTGTTGTTTTCATCACGCTGTTCAGAAGACCCAGCTAATCAACAATGATGTGAGAAGGTATGCTGGTTGGGGTTTTTTTTTTTTTGTTGTTTTGGGTTTGTTTTTTTTTTTTTTCTTGAGAAACATGAAAAAGACATTAGTTTTTAAAGTTACTTCACTGAAATTGTTACGTACCTGTATAGATGAGAGCAAAGACATTGAGTTTCCATTTCTTGTTATTTTGCTTGAACACTACCGTATGTTGCAGAGCAGTTTACCTGCATGACAGTAAGCAAGAATTACTAATGTGACATTCCAAGAGAACAATCTCCCTTAGCTCTTTATAAACTTCTATAGGAACACTGCAAATCTCAGAAGTGCTCCAGATTTCTTATTGTTTGCTCCAAAGTGCGCATTTTGTAGTTTCTAGAATGCAAAAGTATTCTTGACTTCTGGTAGTCCTCCTGGATTTAATCTCTAAAGTAGCAGATTAATTTCCATTTGTGAACTATTAGTCTAAGAAACAGAGACCAGAGTGATGGAGAAAGACACAGTCAAACAAGCAGTTAAGGTAGCGAGTATCTAAGGAGCATGTACATGACAGTTAGGGTGGTGTCAATATTTTTGTACATGCTGTGGAGGAATTGACATTTGTGATTAACACATTTCAACATCTTTTCTTTCCCTCCCAGGGACAGGAGTCCTGTCATCCCAGATTCCACACTTGGCCTGCTCTGTGTACCATATAACACTGAAAGACCTTCCAGCCATGGTCAGGCTTTGGTGGAATAGCTGTGAGAAGCGCGTCTTCAATGTTGTAGACAAGTTTACAAGCAAATACGTCAGCAGCGTACTTTCTGCACAGGAAATAGCTTCTGTTCAGACTAGCACACAGTTATTTAATGGCATGACGGTTAGTAAGACTTTTTGTCCTTTTTCTTCTAATTTACTTCAGGTTTTCACAAACATTAAGACATTATAAGACTGTATTACAGTGTGTTGTATGATTTTTTATTGTTCTAAACGGCTGATGAAAACAACGTTTAGCTTGGTATCTGTATATTAAGTTGTTTGTTAATATTCTGCATGGAAAAAAAATACAAGATAATGGGTTTTATGATGTTGGAGGAGGTAAGTGGAAGATAAGGCTATCAATACACTTTCTTCAGTTTATTAAAAAAGTAATGAATCAGTAGATTGAAAAATGCCTGGTAACTTTTTCTTTGGTTCACCAACATATGAGCAGAATTTTATTTTCTGTGAGAAGAGCGTTTTTCTGGTGTAAGAAAATTATTCGATGTGTGTAGTAAAGTATTTATGGTTTGTGTGTATATATACATATATATATATAAAGATAAAAAATAAGAAAATTATATATAAAAATATATATATAAAAAGAAAAGATTAGTGTATCTTTGTATCTCGGTATATGTTTGGGTTTTTTTTTCTATTTTATGAATAGGTAAAGGCTCGGTCTGCAGCACGGGAAGTCATTGCTACCTATTCAGTTGATGATATATTTATTGAACTAATAATACAGCTTCCATCAAATTACCCACTGGGATCCATAACAGTTGAGAGTGGAAAGAGGGTTGGTGTGGCTGTGCAGCAATGGCGCAATTGGATGCTACAGTTAAGCACCTACCTTACACATCAGGTAAGTGTAGAGGAAGCCCCTAGTTTTGAAACTGAATTCAGTCATGAAAATAGAAAAACATTCCTAGTGATGCAGTATTATTTAGATCTGTATAATGAATCTCATCAGTAGGTCTCAAGAGACTTCATGGGTTTGGTCACTCTTCTATCTGCATCTCTCCAGATGCTGGAAGAGAGAAGTAAAATTACCGGCCTAGTAAGTCCTGTTAAATCCATAGCCAAAGTTGGAAATTTAGATCCTTTAAGACACGGGCCAGTTTCTGCTGTATGTGGCAATTCCATTTCAACTATCATTTGAAGGAAGGAAAAAAAAAAAACCTAACCAAAAAAAAACCCAACCCAAAACCTAGTACATGAAATTCTGTAAAAGATTGGTGGTTGCTGAAGTTGCATCATCTGTGGTTAGAACAAAACAGTGATTGAAAATTTTGAAATCCCCTTTTAAGTGCTTCTAAGTGCATTCCTTTCATTGCTTTTCTATAGACTAGACGATCATCTGTATTTCATGCATTTGCTCTACAAATTATTCACCACACGTATTGCATATAATTTCAGATAAAGCCTTCAGGCTTTGTTTCCTTCATCTGCTTATGAATAACAGTACGGATATTTGTGAAGGAATTCTGCAGTATTAATAGCTCTTTTCCCTCTGTTAGAATGGAAGTATTATGGAAGGATTGTCTTTGTGGAAAAATAACGTGGACAAACGTTTTGAGGGTGTTGAAGATTGCATGATCTGCTTTTCAGTCATTCATGGTTCCAACTATTCACTTCCCAAAAAAGCTTGCAGAACATGCAAGAAAAAGTTTCATTCAGCTTGCTTGGTAAGTACCTAGACTAAATCTTTCACATAGGCAAAATATCCATTTGTAGTTTGAATCAGGAACTTCTGTGGTAATACCATCAGTTCTCCGTTATGTTATTGGAGTATCTGGGATTAACTAAACTCACAAGTTATTTGTATGGCTTTTGTAATTGGATGTAAGAGCATGTAATGAGAGAGGGGTTGCTACACTTCAGAGGTGATAATGATGCGTTTCACATTCACTAAGACATAGGCCTTACATCTACGTAGGGTGTAGCAACAGCATCTCACTGTTATCCACACCAATATGGGAATGGAAAAGGTTAAATTTAATTTGTGCAGCATGCTCTTTAGTAAACCATACTGATGTGGACAATTAACATTTACTATACCCAGGTCATTGTAGGCAGTGGTTGTACAGAGCATATTGGAACAGGTTGGCACCTTCATGGACATGAAATTGAGAGATTATTGCTGCTTTAAAAATGCTAGCTTTTTATTTTAAAATGAGACTGGATGAGAATTCCTTTGTATCAGGCTTTTTAGAATAAGACTTTAGTAGTATGTGGGGGTGATGTGTATATACAGATACATGTACATGTACATATGTACACATGCATACATACAGAAGTGGAAAGGTTTTTTTTACTGTTGTTGTTTATTTGGTCTTTTTAAAGTACAGTTAATGCTTTGATAATTATATTAATTGGCAAATAATGGTTATTATTGGTGATAAACTGTCATTCCTGAGAGCTTGCATGTGTGTCTTAAACCACTGTATTTCCTTTCCAGTACAAATGGTTCACATCGAGCAACAAATCCACCTGTCCACTCTGTCGAGAGACATTTTTCTGAATTAAAACATTCTCCTTTCTGTGAGCTAAGTAATAAATGAAGAGAAGGCAAAAAACTGTTGTAAGAAGCTAACTACTTGGAAATAATGTCAGTTACTTCAAATTTTTTACTAGTGGGATATATGACACATAGTTACCTCTGGACTGCTTTTTGTAAGTTTGAAGATTCTTCTTTGATATAAAGAAATATATAAGAATAATTTATTTTAATGTGTATATTTTTAAGATACTGAGATATATTAAAAGTTTGGAAATAATGCAGTTATGTTTCAGAAGTGGTGTTTAGGCCACAACATAGTTGATGAAAACCTCTTATTTTAGATGTATTCTAACACGGTGTCAGGCACTTAACCCAGCTCATGCCTTTTAATATAGCAGGTGAATTTAACATAGGTGGTATAAAACCTTGATTTTTGGTTATAGTGTGTTCATAATAGTTCCTTTCATGGGAAAAAAAGAATGTTGTTGCTGTTAGACATGAAGGCATGGATCTAGGGTGACAGCCTTCAGTTAAAGCGTAAAATTTAAACAGAGCATGCTTTAAATTAACATGCTTGTATACCAAGCTTTCACCTTTAACAGTCTCATTTTCCAAAAATCCCTTAACCATCCAGCACCCTAAAACCACAAAAACTCAGAAAGCCCAAGTAAGTAGAATACAATCATTCCTGCATGACAATGAAAAATGCTACCTATTTATTGCCAACTGACTTTTAACGAGAAGGTATATGCACCGATCAGCCCTTATTGTTTTAGTTGATGTCATTGTTAGCTGGCAAAGTAGCTATCACTGAATGGACACTGTACTTCCACTGTCCCAGAATTACAAGGACTCCAAGTGAATATGACAGATATATCAAAACTTAATATTGTTGCCGACTATACATTTTCCATGCTTTTTATTTTTTAAACAGCAGCAGTATACTAATAAAATCAAAGTGGAATGGTATTTGGGGTGGGTATCTTTTGAAAAGTGAATAAAAGGGGGGGAATAAATAAATTTTAATCGATCTGTGTAGTGTCTGGATTGTTTTCTACTAGTTCGTATGATAAAGTTTCAGAAATCAGTAATACAGATTTTAAGATAACAAGTTGGCCCCTTCTGACGTGGAAGCTCTAGAACTGAGTTTTAGCTGTTGATAACTTAAGTCTGTATTTTTAACAGGTAGTGCTGACCTTCCAGAGGAGAAATTTCTTCACAGTTTTTGAGAAAGACAGAATGGAAAGGCTTTAAAGCTGGTGCTGAAAAGCTCTAACTGGAAACACAGATTAGGGAGCAAGCTGTAGTTTTTCATTTTTACTGATACTAAAACTCTAGAGTTGCAGCAGACAGCAGTAGAGAGGGGCCAGGAAAATTGAACTTCATGATTTGTTGAACTGGATGCTTGTATTTCCTTGTCCAAATATGCAGCTGTTAGATAGCCCAGTGCAATCATGTTCTGGGGAAAGGATGTTTGTTATGTTTTATTCGTTTCTGTTCTGATCTTCATTATTCTGTTCTTTATAATTTAAAACTGCACACACTGTTGAGCATTGCAGTATGTGCCAGATAATTGCCCGTTTTTATCTTTGATTACCATTTAAAACCAATTCTTTAGTTATAACTAAACACTAGACATTAATTAAACTTCTTTTTCTTAAACCTGTAGTTTTAGTCTATTAAAAGTTTTGACTACATCTTAAAAATCCTCTTTTGATCTTACAACTTTTGCTCAGCAACTTAACTTTGCTAGCCAAAGTGGTTAACATAAAACTTTTAGAGTGGTGTAAGGATGATAATGTTTTGGTTCTAACAGCCCCCCAGCTATCACTGTTACTTTAAAAGCCATGATTTACAGCAAAGTAAAATCACTAAGCATAAAGCCTCTTCTCCTTACAGCTTTGTGAGGGAAAACTAAACAACAACAAAAAAAGTGTTGCTTAGCAAAGGGTCTGCCATCAAGTCAGGTCCTAGAAGCAGGAAGCAGACTGAAATAAGACTGTAGAGTTGTCTACTTACTAAGCTGCAAGAACAGAACTTTGCTTGAATTTTTCAGTGGAAAACTGGAAACACGTTACTTCAGATGGTCACAAAGTTTCTCCCCAGTTCCTCACCTTTGATAGTCCTTAGACAAGTCCAGAGTGGAGGGTAGCTTCTCATGTTCCTTTGCAGTAAAACATCCTTTTCCATGTGAAAGTTGCCTAGCTAGGTTTATAGTCATGTGTTTCTGCTAACAGCAGTTCTCATGGTTTATTCTTCCTGTTCAAAACTTTCTTTTTTCAGTGTCCTAGGTAAGGTTTTTGGGTGGTCAGTTCAAAGCATGGAAGAACCTTTAATGTTTGTGCAAGCTGAGGCACAGCTGGGGCACCTCTGTACATTAACATTCTGTGGGCAGCAGGAGGAGGAGGAAACTGCAGAGGAAAGCTCTTCATCTGGATCCAGTGGTCAGGAAATAGTTCCCCATTTTGGACAGCGATTGAGGGAGGACTTTTACTCCACTTCTCTACTTAACGTCCTTGGTTTCACTTACCCAGTAACCAGCCTGTTCTATAGCATCTCTTCCTTTTCCCCCTATTAATACCTTTTCATGGATGAGAACTTTTCATCTAATCTACAGCAGCACCCTCCTTGTAAAATGACCTAAGAGGGAGCACAATCACCCCACTGTTGCCCATGAGACTTCAGGAGAGTAATAGCTTGCTTTTGCTTTAGCTCTTGATATACACTTACTGCATCTTGCTGTTCAGAAGTACACCATTTCCTTGCAAGTGAAGGAAACTCAGTAACTGTGCCTTAGACTTGTAAAAGTATCCGATACCACATCAAAATAACACTAATTCTAAGTGTTCATTCAAATCCAGCATGGGTATAGATAGCAAGCTATTAAAAGGATGTATTAAATCAGGAAGAATTATATCAAGTAAATTATTTTAATAAGCCACAATGACAAAATATACAAATACCTATTTAGAAAGGAAAAAGTTTTCAATATTAAGTGCAAATACAACAAGGCAGGGTATTTCACAGTTGCCCCTCAACTGTCCTGTGGATAGCTAGAGGACCACTACACCTCTGACAGCCAACAATTGCTGGTTGACATCCAGAATAAAAATAAATGTAGCACCTTGATCAGTTTCACTGCAGTAATCAGGAAGTGATGATATTCTTCAAGAGGATGGAAAATCTTGGCTTAAAATTTGATTGGGCAACTTCAGTTCTCTTCTGTTCAGCTTTCTGCATGTCTAGTGTCTGGATCATGAAGAGCAGTTATCAATGACTTCCTAAATCTGAGGATAGTAAGCATCTCTGGTCCTGCTTGTCTGGAAAGTACTCGTGTGCCTTCTAATCCATGTTTCTTCATTGTTTCCAGGATTTCATCTGTAATTGAAAGTGTAGCATTACAGTTGAGTTCATACGGAAAGCAGCTGTAAAAGGCAGTGCTAAAGTATCTACTGAATATAAGCTGTAAAACAAAGATTATAAACTGTGTTGTCACTAAGTTTTATGCAAAATAGTCTTCCACCAAGAACAAATGAAGTTGACAATTTGCTAACTGAAGTTCTGTATTTTGGTACTAATAGCAATAAACAATTCGGCTATGAAGCTAATTTGTAGAAGAAACTAAAATCTGTAGCACCTTCTCCCAGAAGCTGCCCAATCTACAGGGTGTGAAAGAATAGTGTTTCTTAAAACAATGCACAGCCATTAAGCACTAGATTAGAATAAAGAAGTCTGCAACTTCTCTATGCCTGTCAGAATGAAAGAGTACATACCCAACTGAAGGCTCTTGCCTTTGAAGTTCACACCATAATTCTCTTTGATGAGGAAGCATGGGCCTGGCTTTGTTATACTTAAGATGTAGTCACATTTCAAGTGTGGAACTGAAGCCCACACTTGAGTGTGCGGTCCTGACCTATATAATACCATTTTCCAAACTAAGTTAGGATGTTCTTTTGGTAAATTTGCTTATATATTTGGTCTAGCTCACCACACACTGGATGCAAAAGCCATGAATTCAGGAAAAGGACTCCAAGAGACATCAGCTTATGTAAAAGTCCCTCTGTAGATTATAGACACCCACATAAAATTAAAAGACAAGAAGCACAAGAGTCCACAGAGATGGCCTGGGCTTTATGAAGCAGGCAGATATGGTCATCTACAGCATTTCTAAATGAGGACCTAAAACACCTAGATGAATGTCAATACATGCTGTCAATCTTGAATTACTTGCTGTCACATGTTAGATTCAACTGATGTTGTGTACTATTTGTTTACTGAAGTCTGGTAAGCTGGAGAACATTACAGTGATCAACATCTGGATTTAATATAGTGTTAGATCTGGTTTGGCACACTTAATGATCCAAGGAAAGTGATCACCTGGATTATTTTCTTTAATTGTGACCAAGTAGAATAATCCTTCTGGTGAAAGTAGGTCTGGTACTAATGGAAAAACTCTATCCATTACTTCTCTGCCCTTCTTGCCACCAGCCCAGGATGCCTCTATTCCTTGGCTTTCCACCTAGAAGGAATGAAGGCAAAGATTGTCACAATACAGAACGATAGAAGGATCACTCAGAAGAGAAACATTACCATAATCTCTAGTTTTAGATGTCTGCCATTAGAAATCTGTCAACTTTAATTCATCAGATTAATATATGCTCAGGGTGATAATGTTTCAGCTTGAAGCATGCGAATACATAACATGCAGCAAAATTACTTCAAGACTACTTTTTACACAATGAACATACATTTTTTTGTTTCAAATTCTACTCTTTAAACTGGATTAAAAGAGCTACATTTTGTCATGTGCTGTTTACATATTTTCTTGTAATGTTTTATGAGTGTGTTTGCCAAATGGAAGGTGGCCAGAAAACCCTTTAAGTGTTTTTGGGTCAAATTCTGAGAATAGCGACTGCAGAAGCAGCGGATATTTTGCAGGGAACAAGTGCATTTTACATTGAAAGTCTTTCATGGGAATGCCTTAGCATGCCTAACAAAAGTCTTACACAGTTTATACTTGATGGAGAAACTAGGTCTTGAGAAGCAGCAGCTAGCAATCCTTATTCCCACGTAGTCTTTATAAGCAACTCTAGTAAATAATTTTCACTACAACAGTGGTGTTACAAGAGTGCTGGTCCTACAACATCCTCTATTATTTAATAAAACAAAACCCCTTCAGTTTTCATAGCAGAGCTTGTTTTGCCATTTCTCCTCCAACAGTAGAAATATAATTTTTATTGTGTATTTCCAATTTTTCCTACCTCTTCAGAAGGTGTCACCACATACGGTGGATTAAATAGCAGTAGATCAACCTTCCCATTTAATCTTGGAGACAGTCCTTTGACCTGTAGATGAGTTGAAGGTTCTTTTGTTAATGTTCCCTCTTTTATTTTTTTTTTTTAATTGGAAACAATGCAAGCATTTTGTAAAAATTCAGTTACATAATGCTGGATATTCTGAGCATTTCAGCCTGACTCGGGAACACTGAACTCTGCTTTCGAAGTGCAAGAGAAGCATCACCAAGAAGGATCCATGCACAGCAGAACATTTCAGTCATATTGAAGAGTATGTTATGTATGGGATGTAGAAGAGAAAGACACATACGTGACACAAAATTAGATGGATAAGTTAGATATAAAAGAATTTTTAAGTTATCATTGGTTAATATCCGTTACCCAAAATTACCAATTGGTGACAAGTGCAGTTCATGTCTCAAGTACAAGCAGTATTTCATCCATTTTAGATCACATTCGTTGTTGCCTATCTTCACTATCTTTTATAAACACAGATATTTAGGGTATTTTAAGCAAACATCTTGCTAAAGAGATGAGAAACCTAGCTTTTCTCCATATCAAGTTTTGCAAGGAAAAAGTAACTACACAGTTCCTAATTAAATCAGAAAGAGCCAAGAACCAAGAAATGCATCACATTAGAGAAAGAGCTATGATAATGTCAGCTCACTGCAGAGTTCCTTGTGCAGGATTTTTCTAACTATATATACGTAATTAAGTTTTAAAATTAATTCAGTGAAATTTTAAAGCTTAAATTTGAATTTTAGAGCTGAAGCAGTTTGGTTTTCCCTTCTTTCAGAAACACTGATGAATTTTATTGTTTTCTTTTTTACTTCTGTGCTTTTTAAGAGAATGCTTATTCCAGGCCACAGTTACTTTTCAGTATCCCTAATAAGTATTAAAAAATTACAAAAACTATAAAGATATTACTGAAACATCTTACCAAGTCAGTAATGACTGGCTGAAGATGAACGTTGTTAAGCAGAGCTGTCTCCAGTGTACAGTAAGCTGCCATTGGGTTGATATCTGTGCATCTAGAAGCAAAATATTACAAAGTCTAAGTTACTGGGTACTATATCTGGGTACTGTAACATCACCGTGAACAATACGCTAATTTATGTACTCTCAATGAAAACATCCTTTACATTTCAAGTCTATAGTGAAAAATAACCAGTAAAATACATACAATGTATCAGGAGCTAAACCACTCAACACCATGCTGGAGTTTCAATGACTGTATGAAAGCTAAAGTGCAGGATTTGTTTTTCAATGCTAGCTCTGCATAAATACGTATGCATACAAGTCTCTCATAAAACTGCCAGCATCCATAACTAATGTTATGTCATCAGACCTCAGTAAGACTAGTCAGTGGCTAAAATTTAGAATTTAACTAAGTGAATATAATAGTAAACTTAGCAATTTGTCTCAAAAGTGGGAAAATGGAGTTGTAGTGGCACCAGTACTTAAAGAAACTGAAGTAGTTTAAGGCTTCCTTTGCTTTGATTTCCATACCTGCAGAATTGAACTGATATTGCTTTGTGAAAAGAACAGGTTTTAAAATGTAAAAATGGAAAGTATGTGAAGGTTAAGTATTGTTTATTAGTGCATGCAGCAGTTTAAGTGCTATTATACTTACATATACAGTGCACTGGATCCAATAATGGAAGAAGCTACAAATGTCGAAACCACACCAGATCCAGATCCTATTTCAAGGCAGATCTCAACTCTAAAGAGAGAAAACTCTGGATGACTTATTTGTAATGTATAAGACCGCCTACAACAGATGCAGACTTAGTCAAAGCAGTGTTAGAAAACCTGATGCCCTTCTATGTGCTGAAATACTTATCATACAGCCTTCAAAGCCCATGACATGTCAAAGCCCATGTCTTGTTGCCGGTTTCACAGTGTTTTTCAGGCCTCTTGGTGACCATACAGAAATTCCTTCTGTGTTTCTCAGAGTAGCCTGTGATAACATTCCCCCCATGCTACTAACATTAAAGTTTCCATTAACTGCACAATCTCAAGAGTAGAGGCTACATTCCTACAGCATTTATTACAGATTTATTGCAGCAAGACTGAACTCCAATAGGAATTGATTAACACCTCCAATAGTTTGCTCAGGGAAGCTGTGAATGCTCCATCCCTGGCAGTGTTCAAGGCCGGGCTGGACAGAGCCTTGGGTGACATGGTTTAGTGTGAGGTGTCCCTGCCCATGGCAGGGGGGCTGGAACTAGATGATCTTAAGGTCCTTTCCAACCCAAACTATTCTATGATTCTGTGAAGCCACACAACTAAGCAGGACTCAAAGAATACCTCAGGAGAGTTTCAGCCAGCTCTGGACAAACAGCAGTGGCAGGCAATTTCAAAATAATCACTCATAGCATTAACTCCTTGGGCCATTTCTGTAGTGGTTATAGTTACAGAGGCATACTTCAGCTGCTGACACTGGGCAGCAACGTGAGCAGCTACACAGCTCATACAGCTTCACTGGGGTTAGGACACAAACGTTTTACCACATTTATAAGAATCACAGAATGGTTTGGGTTGGAAGGGATCTTAAAGCTCATCCAGTTCCAACCCCCTGCCACGGCCAGCGACACCTGCCACTAGAGCAAGTCACTCAAAGGCCCCTCCAACCTGGCCCTGAATACTGCCAGGGATGGGGCAGCCACGGCTTCTCTGGGCAACCTCTGCCATGTATCACCACCCTCGTAGTAAATGATTTCTTTGCGATATTTAATCTAAATCTACACTTTTCAGTTTCAAACCATAACCCCTTGTCCTGTCAGTACATGCCCTTGTACGGCATCCCTGAAGGCCCCTTTAGGCACTGGAAGCTGCTCTAAGGTCTCCCCGGAGCCTCCTCCAGGCTGAACAACCCCAGCTCTCTCAGCTTGTGTTCACAGGAGAGGTGCTCCAGCCCTCCGAGCATCTTCGTGGCCCTCCGCTGGACTCTGCTGCAACAGGTCCACGTCCTTAAGTTGTCGGGGGACCCCAGAGCTGAAATACTCAAAATACGTTCTGGTGCCACCGAAATACGGTGCAGTCCTTGCACAGCTGCTCGTATGTTACCCCCGAAGCGCCACCCTACGGACAACCAGCAGAGCCCGAAGCCGTTCTGAGAAGCGCGACAGACGCGGTGTTACCGCGTTCCCCCCAGCCAACCGCCCGCGGAGGGGCGACGGACAGGACCGCCTCGCCTCGCCTCGCCCCCTCCCGTCCCTTGGCCGCTCCCGCCCCTCCCCGCAGTGCCTACCGGGCCTGCCGCAGGAGGGCCGCGTCCTGCTCCAGCGCGTCCAGCAGCAAGAAGGTGTCCTCGGCCGGCTCATACACATCGCGGTAGGGCCCGTGCGGCCCCACGTGATCGTACCGCGGTGTCGGGAGCGCGGACGTCGCCATGTCATCCCATCCCGTCCTACCCCGGGGTGCGCATGCGTGGGCTCCCGGAGGGGCGGGGAGGGGAGGGGAGCCCCGGGGCAGCCGGGGCAGTCGCGACAGCGACAGCGACACCGACAATATGAGGGCGCCGGCTTGGCCCCGCCCTAGTGCTGACCGCGCCAACGGCGGCAGCTGTCGCTGCGGACTCGGTATTAGGGGTCTGCTGACGTCACTTCCGGTGAGCATCTCAGGGGTACTTTCTAGAGCTCGGCTTCGTCGTACCGGTGCAGTTTATCGGACATTAAAACCCATCACTGTAATCGGTTCAGGTGCGCGTGGCGATCCCCGCAGCACAAGCACAGAATGGGCTAGGTTGGAAAAGACCTTTAAGATCAAGTCCACCCCAGCGCTGCTAAGCCCACCCTAAACCATGTACACGGGTTTTTAATCACTCCAGGGATGGTGACTCCACCACTGCCCTGGGCAGCCTGTGCCAATACCTGATCACCCTCCCAGTGAAGAAATTTTTCCTTATACCCAATCTAAAACTCTCCTGGTGCTGTTTGAGGCCATTACCTCTTGTCCTGTCGCTACTTGGGAGAAGAGACCAACCCCATTTCACTACAGCCTCCTTTCAGGTAGCTGTAGAGAGCAATAAGGTTCCCCCGAGCCTTCTCTTGTCCAGTCTAAACAACCTCAGTTCCCTCAGCCGCTCCTCATCACAGTCGTGCTCCAGGCCCTTCCCCAGTTCTGTTGTCCTTCTCTGGACCCAATCCAGCATCTCAGTGTCTTTCTTGGGGCCCAGGACTGAACACAGGATTTGAGGTGCAGCCTCACCAATGCCCAGTACAGGCGGATAATCACTGCCCTGCCCCTGCTGGCCGCCAGGATGCTGCTGGCCTTTGCTGCCCAATGAACACTGATGTGAAGGACCCACTACTCTTATTTTTTTTTGCTTCAGCTTCCCAAACTGCTTTTCCTTCATGAGAAGTAACACCTCTGCACATAAAGTTAACACAAAGCCAAACAAAAGGAGGTGCTGAGGAAGTTTCTAAGTGCCAGTCCTGCAGTGAAGCACACATGGGAAACACATCAATACTCAAATGAAGCTCTTTTTTCCAGTTACAAAAGGATATGTTTCTATGATTTTTTGCCAGCAACACCTGACAGCATCCTCAGGCCCAACCCTATGAACTCCAGAATTCAAACAAAAATTAGGTCTGCAGAACTATGAATTGAGGGGAAATTTCAGAGCACCAATCAGACTAATGATTTGCCCTACACAACAGAACACAAGCGAGCAAACAAATTCTGATCAGAAGCAGGAGCGGTGTACAAGTTCTAATTCCCATAAAACGTCTGAGTTCACACATCAATGCACTGAACACTCAAATTCTGAGAGTGAGATGAATTTCTAGGTCAATAAAAGGTGATGTTACTAAACAGGCCAGAATCTTAAAACATTATTTTTGTAATAATTTAAAAGAACATAAGTTTTGGAAAAGAAGGAAAAAAAATTAAAAAATAGCCAAAACCCCAAAAAAACACCCCATGAGTAATCCAGTAGATTGATGATTTAAGTATATTTAAAGGTTGGGGTTGTTGCTTGTTGGCTAACCTCCAGTTTTGGCTCTGGAACTAGGGAAAGATAACCAATTTCCATTTTTCACTTGCAACTGTAAGTGGCTTCTATAGAACAGAGGGTATCTTCCATTCCTATAGAAGAACTTGATTTCTGAGTTGCTCATAGTTTGTAAATACAGCTAACTCATTTTGAAGCTAGGCTTATTCTGTTTATTCCTGTATCTGCCATAGGTTAGTTTTGCACAGGAATACAGGAGAACACAGAAAAGCAGTTCCTGCTTCATGGGAGGGTCTTGTCCTTTATGCTCATTGAAAAGAGCTGTGAAATAGATATGTTGTCCTGAAAATTCATAGTTTATCTATTCCACATAAACATGTGAGGAAAAAATTATTTCTTCAATATACTCAGTCCTTGCAGTAACAAGAAATCTGTTTGGGTAAATTCTCTTGGGGAAAGGACTGCTCCCGCTCACTGAAGACAAAAAACCCCAAACAACACAGCAACAACTGCTGAATCTCTGGGAGTCTTACAGCAGGGCAAAGTTCCATTTTCGCTGCAGGTGCGATGACTGGTGTTACCTGACCCAACTGTTGGACACCAGCTCAGCAGCCAGGTATCTGGAAGATTTAGCTGAAACTTCAGTAGTAGTGCATCCTGCCTTACATCTGCCTTTAGCTGTACATTTCCAAGTCAAACCAATGTGCTACTCTTTCACCTCAAAGCCAATGCTTTTTCAAGTAGCCAACAAATTACAGAGATTCATAATTAATATACCAGAAATACATGCAAATAATTATGATCAGTCAGTAGTAAGTGTCCTTCATGTCCAGTCTTTTGGGGTAAGTCAGTGCAATTGGATATCCAGAGATTAATAATCAGAGATCCAAAGATGAGGTTTTAACCCATGGATCACTTTTGTGTCCTGTCACAGAAATGAAAGCATCAAGCTTTATCTTAAAGCAGTTTAGGTGTCTTGGTCCACTGTCTAGCATGTAAAGCAACTCTAGAAACTCAGAAGTTTAGAAAAGTTCAATTTCCTGAGTAAATTTATTTATGGTCCTGATCTTGTATTACCTTTGAGTTTAAGATACTATTTTTCCTTTAATTTATTCCCCCATATGAAGTGTTGTCATAACCTATCTCAACCATTTTTGCAACAGAATTATCCGTTGTTGCCTCCTAATTTACGTCCTTATCATGCTCTCTTGTGAAACCTGTTCTGATAGGAGTTATTCTGTCTTTCAGCATGGTGTCTGCATACAGGCTAAACAAGATCTTAGCCTGTGAGATGTTGATGGTTTCCTTTACTGAAAATCCTTTTCCCTATAATCGTACTCTGCTGCTTTGCAGAGTAGGATTATCACATTTCTGACAAAACAGTAGGTTCTGACAGAGGTTAACATTAATCTTAATTAAAGTCTGCTTTTAATAAACTATCTCGGTCATCAGTGGAGCACGATAGGCTGCTTCAAGGGGCAGTAGTGAGCAGGAGCCTGGCTGGAGACAATGCCAGTTTTTTAAATGGGAAAGGAAACTCAGTAAGATACTCTGTCATTTCATCTCTCTTCCCAATGATTTGCTGCTACACTAGAGGAGCAAGTACTTGTAAAACATATTAAGCTTGCATAAAATTCCATTACTTTGGCAAAATGAAGTCATGCTAAGAGACAGAATTTTGCACTGTGTCCATATTAGGAAAATTAATTCTTTGGATGTATTTTTTTTAACCTCTACGGGTGGTCAGGCTTTGGAGTGCAAGTAGAAGAAATGACTTCACCATCTTCAGCTGTACTGGCTGTTACTTTTGGCTGTTTCATACATCATGAAATCTGGTTAATTATTATTGGAGGTTTTAATACTTGTAAGTCCTTCTGGGTGAATTTAATAAAACATTTATTTTTATTGCTTATATAACTAGCTAAAATGTTTTTCTTGGTAGAAAACTGTACTGTTTTTGCCAAAACAGGTTATATTTCAATTTTGGGAAATTGCTGGATAACTAATATTCCCATTATCAGTGGTGCTTGTGCCATGTTATTAAACCAGGCTTTATGGGGATATGAAAAATTGTTTTTGACAGGAATCATAACCATTTGTTTACACTAAGCTGTATGGCTCTATCCCATTTGGAGTTCAGTGCCCTTCCTCTCATGCAGTGATACTTAACCCATAACTTCCTAGCTGTCTGTCAGCCCTCAGAAGTCTCCATTGTAAACTTCTCAAACAGGTCTGTGTTTGCCCCTCCATGTCACGGAAGTAAACCTAGGCCTGTGCCGGCCCCATGAATGCTCCTCTTTCAGTGCATTTGAAGGAGTGGAGCCACCAGGAAAAGTCCACTGCAGAAAGAGAACTGCTAAGAGAGGTCTGGAAGAGATCTCTTTATGTAGCCCATCAGGCAACCACATCATATAATCTCTTCCTTAAACTGAGAAAGTGTCTTCCTAAAAGTAGCTAGGTTTCTTGCCATCCATATTTGTAATGAAAAGCCACTTCAGTACTCTGCTTATTAGTAACCTTGTCATTCCCAGCCTAAATGTGGTGGTGATAGGTTTGATACTCACTTTTCTGGCAAGTATGAAAGCTGAAGTGTTTCTTTTCATACTTTTAGCTTGATGGATATGTAGACAAAGAAAGGTTCTCATCAGCCTTTGATTTGCTTGACTAAGAAAGACGTGCTATTAAAAGTTTCCTGTCATAAGATACTATTTTCATTTCTCTTACCACTCTCTTAGACTTTCCGCATGTGGATTCAAGTCTGACTTCACCCTGAATGTGACTTGTACAGATTACTCCAGGTAATGCCTCACTGATGTTTTGCAGAATTAGCTGCCACTTTCCTGGAACTTTCCTGGTATATCCCAGGATTATGGTTGCATTTTCCTCTCAGAAATGATTTCTTACCATTTGTTCTTCCACTGATTTTCCTCAATGGTTTCCAAATAACTGACTATAATATGAGAATTCTGTAAGGTTTTATTGTTTTTATTAGCCCACTTTGCATGCCTGTTGCTCATGTTCTGGTCGTTTTGTTCCCCCCTGCGTCACGTCTCCTGACTTAATGTTGTCATCAGATTGATGTCAAGGATATTGTAAAAACACTAATTAAATCAGCCCCAAGACTGATATTTCAGGAAGTCACCATTAGTGACTTTTAACCTGATACTATTCATTTTCAGTATGATGTATGACTATCTAACCTTTGTTCAGTTTCTTGTTCACCTCATGTTCCCTTTGCCAATTCCATCATCTCCAGCTTAGGTCATACTTTTCCTCATAACATCACATCAAAAGCTGCATGGGAGCCTAAGAAGAGTCAATGTGCTTAATTTTTCCTGTTTAAAGATGGAGACAGACACCACAGTAATGTAGCAAGATGTTCTGCCTTTGCCAGCATGGCCAAAATCATAATCCCTTTGGGGTTTTTAATTGTTATTCCATCTTAATGCTGCTTTCCTTCTTGTCTTTTTTAACACATGTGCCCCTAACCACCTCTCCCAGGGCTCTGTAGTCCTTCTTAATGGTTCCCAGGCTGCTGCTGTCAGTATCACTAGCACCCACATGGACCACTATGAAGTGGGTAAGGACTGATTAGACCAGGCAGCCTCTCAGCACCATCCCTGATCTGAGCCCCTGGTAGGCAACACGCCTCCCTTGAGACTGGGTCAAGCTGACAGATGGGTGCCTCTGCGCCTTTCAAAGTAGAGTCACCTACTGCTGTGAGCCACTGCTTTTTTCCTGGAGATATCAGTAGTGATCCTCTTCACTGGTGCAACATCTGGTTGTTCATTTGGTGCAGTGTGTGTGTCCTTGTTAGCCTCCTGCAGAACTGCGAAGCAGCTCTGGGTGGGGATGTTGGATTTAGGAGGAAGCCCCTTGCTTTTAATTGTCCTTTTTGTCTTTTTTTGTTGTTGTTGTTGTTGTTGTGGGGTTTTTTTTGTGTGTTTTTCTTTTTTTTTTTTTGGGGGGGGGGTGTGTGTTGGTGTGTTGTGTTTTGTTTGTTTGTTTTTTGGGTTTTTTTGGTTTTGGTTTGGTTTTGGTTTGTTTTTTTTTGTTTGTTTGTTTGTTTGGGTTTGTTTGTTTTTTTTTTTTTGCTTTGTAACTAGCTCCCAGCTTCCTGGATTAACACCCTCCTCCTTTTCTGTATGTGCTAAAATGGACGCTTGTGACTCCTGCACAGTTCGGGCCCGGAGCAAGCAGTCCAGCTCCCCCTCAGCTCCCCTGACACCTTTCAGCTACCGACAGAATCCCACAGCTCAGCCCCTGCTGCAGAAGGACTCCGCTAGGGTGCACCGAGCGCAGCCCTGCCCATTGTGCACCCTTGCCTCAAGGCACCACCTTTCTATACCCCGAGCTCCGCGCTGCAGCCTCCCCTCTCACCGGCTCTGTCTGGTGCCGACGCTGCCACCGCCGGAGCAGCCAGAGCAGAGTCCCCTGAGCCGGCCCTGGCCCTGAGGCGAGCGCTCACCTGCTCACTCGAACTGCCGCGCCACACTCCCACTGCCCACTCTGCTCGTCACAACCCTGGCCACCCGTGCTCCCTACGGCGCTGTTTTATCCTCCTCTGGCCGCCCCCTGTGAATCCCTGCTCGCCTCAGCGGAGCTGCGGCTCCTGGGCAAGGCCTGGAGAGGGTTCGAGGCTCGCTCGGTGGCTCTCGCCGCGCAGAACTGAGGCTCCTGGACGCGGGGTTTCCCCTCTCCCGGGGGTTGAAGGCTCCTCTCTGGAGCTGGCAAAAAAACCCAAATAAATCATAATTTAAAACCAGTAATAATTAACAAACATTATTCCAGCCATCACTTGTTTAATTTTATTTAATTATTCTCTTAATTATTAAAAATTGTCATAGAATAGTGACTTTTAGTTACAGACCTCTTTTTTATAATCCTTTGTTTAATTATATTAGATAATTCCATGGTCAGTCATGTAAGGTTGTTTTCCCTGACATTCCTGAACTAGTAGAATCATTACTAAGCAAAGACAAAAATAGTATCATCTTTTTACTACTTCCTAAACTATTAAGTGAAGAACTATGGTGATGTGAAGAACACTTGGATGTTACTCATTTCTAGTCTTTGGATAATTAGCATTTTTTTTCCAAGTGTCACATTTCCCAATTTCATTTCCCTTTCTAGTCATATTATGAAGTTCCCTAACCATACCAAAAGCCAAACCCTGGAGAATATACTCCAATAAAAGTGTCCTTCTCCCTGTTCCCCATAGATACTGTCAGGTGAATCAATGCTGAGTTTTACACACTGTTCTTTCTTTTGTATTTCTAAAAGGAGTAGCTTCAATCGTTTTTTCACTTCCCTACTGACTGATGAAAATTCTTGCCCTTACATCATGACATTGCTTCAGTACACCATGGCATGGTAATATTTCATCACAGCTCTGGAATTTTAGACCTGCTAAGTGAGAGGTCCAGGGATGACACATTAGAGAGTAAGAATGATGGGTACTTGTTTATAGCCCTTCCTGAAAAGATCCCAGAGTGCATGCTAAACTTTACAAACCAATTACCAACTGTTCTATTGAACTGATGATGAATTACATTGCTCATCATTGAAATGCAGCTACCTTAGGGAGAAGGCAAGGAACTTTTTAACAGTGTACGAAAGTATTTCAACACTTCAGGAGAGAAAATAAATAATGCCATAATCAACTGAGCAGAAAGAGAATGTTTAGGTAAGTAGTTATATATAGTTGTTTTAACTGGATGTAGGCCAGAAACCTAGTAAAAAAACTACTGCTAATGCAAAAAATGGAATTGGGATTTTTAAGGTACAAGTGATCAGTTCTTTGGTTTATATCTTAATGCACAACACCTCAGGCAGCAGAGTTGTAGCTGAGCTTTCCTTTACAACTGGCTTACCAACATTGCCTCCTTTAGTGGGCAAGAATGATGTCTGTTTTCCTCAGGAATTTACAACAATGTGCCCCAGGGCAAATTGGCTTCTTTAGCTATTTTCAGGACATTTCTGCCTCTTCTTGTCATTTTAAATGGCTAGTTTTTAGAGGTAAGACTAAAACGTGTTCTATTGCATTAGATTCTGACAAACTAACTAGCAAGGTAAGAGATTCCCTTACTTTCTGCCTGCTCAAATACTGAAGAGAAGCCTCTCTCAGGACAGCTAGTGTTGAATGTGCTTTCTTATTTTGTCTCCAAGACTTTTAATGGAGAATTCAGAGAAAAAGAGAGAAAACAGGAAAATTATATGCGGTCACAAGGCAATATTCCTTCTTGACATATATGAAACATCCAGAGTCCTTTTTAAAAAGGTTAAAAATAACATGAATTACTCTAATTACTCTGTTAGTCTGACAGCAGCACTCATCATAGTCTAAAATGTAGCTGTATTCCTTTAGCTAAAGCCATCAGCTACAGGAAGATGGAACAGGTTGATCTGAAGTCTCCTACAAATAGCAAAATTGCAATGCAGTTAGGCTCAGTAGGATCATGGCAAGGAATGTACCAAAGAAATAGCTGGTTTGTGTATGCATATGTAATTGAGACACTTTTACTGTCTTTTAATTGCATTATTAATGAAATGTATGTATCTGCAGGGAGCAATGTGACACAGGAGAAAATGTAGTGGCTAGAAGGGCATTTCTAAAAAGGATGAAAAATCTCTTCTGTTTCAGGACTGAGGCTGAACTGACATTTTCATGGCATGAATAATGGATGGTTTATGTGTCAGTCCACTGGAACTAGAGTGAAACAGAACTTCCTAAACAGCTATGTGGAAGTGACTGAATAAATTCAGAAGTTATCCCAAGAGGGACAGTTTTTCCTGCATCTCCTTAAGAAAGTGCTTTGCTTGCTAATCTTTCTCTCCTTGATTGATAGAACATAAAAGTCTATGAGCTAGCCAGAGATAACAGCTTCCTTTTTGACTTAGAGAACATTTAACAAGGAAATCAAAGAATATCTGCTCAAGTTCCAGGATACAAATGGGTTAACAAGTTGTTCAAATTATCTGCAATAGTTCTGACATTGTGTGGGACTGTATAGAGAAGCAGCAACAGTACAGTCAGTTGGTTGTTTAAGTTAGTGTTAAAAAAAAATATAATGAACACCAGTCTTGCTTAGGCATCTGAGTAGATATAAATACAGTGGATTAAATCTTTACCTAGTTTAAATTATTATAGCTTATATTGACTTCAGCAGAGTCATCGTTACTCTGGTGTTAATAAATGGAACATAGAAAAACTGGATAGAACAATTACAAGTGTCCATATACATTTCAGAATAAATTTGTTGTCACTCTTCAGAAAATCAACTACTGTCATGGAAAATCAGTGAAAATCTCTTTAACAACTGCAAGAGGTACCTTAGGAATAGCTTAGGTTAGAATAGGAGAGAAAATAAAATTGGAAATATTATAATACTGTTATATATGTTGATGTTGATGTACATATACATACATACATTTACAATGACATTATATAAAAATATACATATAGTATTTGTTACTCGATTATGTGTACATATATTTTTATATACATATATAATATTGTGTATTGGTTTTGTAAAAAAGCTCATAAATGGGTGATGGAAAGCTGTTGAAGCTAGGGAAAGAACAACCAAACATTGTGAGAAGGTTTCACCGTATTTGTTTTTGTTTTTAAGTCTTATTGTTTCTATTAAAAGACTTCTAATTATAGGATCAAAGAGCCATTCAGGTGGGAAGGGGCTTCAGGTCTCTGGTCCAACCTCCTGACCAAACCAGGGTCATCCCTGGGATCAGATAAGGCTGCCTGGGGCTTTCTCCAGGCAGGCTGTAAAACCCTCCAAAGATGGAGCCTGCACAGCCTCAACCTGTTCCACTGCATGACTCTCCTCAGGGTAAGAGTTTTTTCTTTATATCCAACCCAAACCTCTCTTGCTTCAACTTGTGTTCACTGCTTCTTGTCCTTCTACCACAAAACTGGTCTTCCCAGTTGTTCACCTGAAAGCTTGCTTGGGAGTCCATTACAATTCAATGTGCTCATAAAAACTTCAGGGAAAGCACCCACTTGGAGAGGATTTTGTGTAACTTCTGGCTGACACTGCCGATACTGATTGCACTGATAGCAATACTAGATTAGGCAGGCTGTGGTTCTTGAATTTGTAAATGTTATGTTTCTCTTTTTGTTTGGCTATATTGTGAATATTTTGCCAGCACTTTCTTACCCATACTATTTCCTGGACAACATTAATATTGATATTAATATGTTCATAGGTTAGTAAAGCATGACTATTAAGAACCTGAACAAAAATCTGCATGTAATTGTGGCTTGCATGCCAGTTTTCCCTATATATATTTTAGTATGAAAATCTAAGAAAGAGAGATTAAAAAGGATTTTCACTTCATAATCACCTTCATAATGACATCTGATGTTCCATTACAGTCATGCTTCAAAAGTGGGGTGTGGGGGGGTTAAGCAGCTGTCTACCAAAACACTGAATGTTGATGTAGCAAGCTTAGTAGGAACTGGATAGAACATGTCATTGGGCACCTCAGAGAAAAGATTTTCTTGTGGCTTAAATAAATAAAGCATCTTGACAGACTTAGGAAAAAGATACTAATGTTAGGCAAAACACATTGTGTGTAGCTGTATATTCAGGTAAAAAAGTTCATGTCATAAGTACTCACATAATGCTGCTTCAGTAGAATAATTTCTGAAATCACACATTGTTCAGTCAAAAAACGAACAGCAACATTTGGCCTATAATGAAGGACCTTGTCATGGTATAAGACAGCCAAGATAAGGCTGCCACCAAAATACTCTTAATTTCATGCTAAGAACTATGGATGGGAGTCCATGTTTGCTGTACCTTTCCATAGCAACAAAAGTCTGCTAGCACTTAATAAATAATGAAGCAATCCTGTGTTTCATGGTTTACAGACTTTCAATAACTTTATATCAATACTTTAATTACATTTCCTAGGTTTTTACAGGAGAAGTGTAAAATGAGAAGGTAGAAAAAAAGCATGACTGAAAGAAGAAACTAAATATATCGCGGGAAAGAGCCTGAAGATTAGCTTATTTCTGGCAGAGTTAGCCTGATCTACAATCAGAATGTGAGATTTGAGCAACTTTTTTTTTTTTGGCTTGTAAAGCTACATAGTGTAACATTTTCATTGGACTACACTCAAACTGAGTCTTTGTCCAGCAACAACAAGCTCCTTAAGCTGTCCACTTTTCACATGCACACCTGCTAATATATTTTAAAGGAAATACTAAAAATATGTTGCAAGTAAAGACATAACAGATGTCAGTAAGAATAAATGAGGTGATTTAGAATTGTATTAAAATCTTCAAGGTGCCTGGCTGGTGAGCCATGCTCTAAAGCACTGCAGATTGACCTCAGCTGGAAACAGGATATAGCCAGCAAGTAAAATTGCTGCAGTGGATCCTTGTCATTACTGCTCTCTGTACAGCACATTACACTCTCACTTTGGTCTTTTAGTGTGGAGCTGAAGTTTGTAAGAAATGTTGGAAAAGATTTTGTGATCTGTGGTGAGTTGGGTCCAACACAGTCAAAACTCTGTAGATCTGCATCTGTTGCATAGCTGTGGAGGACTGAACTTAGAGATCCATTTGGTCCCTTTCAGCAGCAAATCCCCAGCTGGGAGCAAAGAGGGAAATAATAGACTGGATTTAAAACTGCAAAGGCTGGGAAGTTCAGGAGTAATTTATAGGGACAAATTTCCTTGCAAGAAGAAACATTATAAAGCAAAAAACAAGCTCCATAAGTAAAACATTATTTGCTGTAGAAAGATCTAAATATGTTGTGTATTGGATAAGGTAGGTTGCTATGTTTTCCTTTTTCTGAGTCTGCATGTGTTTTCTTCAACTGTAACATGTATCAATGATAAATTGGAATGTGCCAGAAGACCTGGGGGCCATTTAGGCACCTTTTGTGCATAGACACAAGGATTGCCAGCACCTCTTTATTTTGGAGACTTATTTCAGGGAAGTGTGTGGGAGAGTCTGCCCTTGTGAAGCATGCTGCTGAGCTGATGGCCAGCTCCTTCCTAATCATGAAGGATTTAAAGTCTTTTAAGCCCAGCATATCTGTACTGACACAGAAATAGGATAAATAGCTACAGAAAGAATTAATTGGCAGTGTTTAAATACCAAATGACCATGAACTAAAAGGTGAATATTAGTTGGATAGCAAAATTGCCTTTTTAGAATCATAGAATACTTAGGGTTGGAAAGGACCTTAAGATCGTCAAGTTCCAACCCCCCTGCCATGGGCAGGGACACCTCACACTAAATCATGTCACCCAAGGTTCTATCCAGCCTGGCCTTGAACACCGCCAGGGATGGAGCATTCACAGCTTCCCTGGGCAACCCATTCCAGTGCCTCACCACCCTCACAGTAAAGAACTTCCTCCTTATATCCAATCTAAACTTTCTTTTTCAAGTTTTAACCCATTACCCCTTGTCCTATCACTGCAGTCCCTAATGAAGAGTCCCTCCCCAGCATCCTTATAGGCCCCCTTCAGATACTGGAAGGCTGCTATGAAGTTTTTATTTTTCTTCTAAAAGGACTAATGTTTTCTAAAGGGAGTAAAAGCTACCTAAATTGTAGACACTCTCTAGTTATCTCTAACACCCTCACTTTATAAACAACGATCTTTTTGAAACACCGCTTTCAAACTCTAATCACTTGCACAGATGTTCAGTCAAAACAAATATTTTATGAGAGAGGTTGGTAAGCTCTAGGAGATGAAATTTGGGATCGAAATCAAAACTTGTAAATAGGTATATAAACAAGGTCACTATTTAATAGGTCCATCGCAATTGCATATGGAAGAAAAATGTTATAAATCCTTTCTGCCTGTCATAGTCCAGTACATACGTTAAAGAAAGCAAAACTAATCAAACACTGAAAGGTGACCTGGTGGTCTAATTAACTAATGCAATTCTCCCAAATAAAATACATTTTTTTCTAAAATATGCTAGATGTTACAGGTAAAGCTATCAAACAAAAATTCATATGGCCATGGTGTTTTGATTTCCGGGTTAAAATAACAATACTGACCTTAGCATGAGGTAAATTCTTGAGATTAATGACCAGCTTGGGTTAATGATCCTTGGCTGTGCTTCTGACCTTCGTCTCATCCCAGCTGGTCGTTAATCCTCAGGAAATTTACTGCGCCTTCATTGTTATGACTTACACGGCCCATGTACAAACCTTGGGAGCTGCTGAGAATGTGTAAGTGGTACTTTGCGTCTAGAACTCTTACAACTAAAAACAAACCAAAACCAGCTTTGAAAGTTTTAAGAAATCAGAAGGGCAAATCATATGACTTTGATCAAAGTATTGCTAACAGCATTCATTGTGTGCTGTTTTCTCTGTAGGAGTCTTGAAGTGATTATTGAAGAATATTACAGAATACAAAAAATGTAGCATTTGGCATTGACTATCTGGTTTGGGCATTTCTGAAACAGCTATCAACTTTGCATTTAAATGCCAAATGCAATATTTTGCCTTGATGTAATTCTTCAAAGTACCATTCATTCTCCTTTCACTGGAAATGGTGCAAATCAGAACAATGCTTTTCTGAAGGTATAAGATGCGTGGGAGGTTTTTCACTCATCAATTATTTTTCCCTATCTGCCTGTCACATTTTTAACTCTTTTATTTAGCTATAGCTTATAGGTGGAGGTTATGAGGCAAAGAGAAGATGTGATTTGCCTAAGACCCTACAAATAGCCATGTATGGAGTTATAGCTAGAAGATGGGATTTTTCTGATGAATGCTGATGTTAGTGTTCATTCCTGAGGACCATTTTTCTTTCTCTGTCTGTGGTAAGGATGTGATGTTTATAAACCTGATGACGATATATAAACCAGAGTTGTCTTTCCTAGCACAAGTACTTCATTAGAGTTCCAGATGTAGAAACAAATAGGAAGAAAAATAAGTGATGTGATACTCCTTTCTACAGCTGTTTGAACTGGCAGCTCTGCAAAAACAAAAAAACAACACAGAACGCATGGCTGAAATCAGCCATAAATACTTCATCGTGTCAAAGGTCCTATTGTTAAATTTGAGTCTAACTAAACTTCCTTTTCCATCCAAAAAGGAACAAATAAGAAACCAGGAGTTTGAGTGGAAAGACATCCTAGCATACTTTAGCCATGTAACTTAATGTCTGTTGAACTTATTTAAGCAAAGACACTTTTTGTAAATTAATGGTTTTAAAGGTTAAGGAAGCCAATTATTACAATGCAGACCACCCTCCTGTAGAACAGAAGCTTTTAACCTCAAATAGAGTATATGGAACATCCTCTATAAAAATAACTTTTCCTTGCATGTGCTACATGGAAAGAACAGCACACAGCATTTCATCCTGAGGAGGGGTGCAGGAACAAAAAAGGTCACTTCTCAGGTGAAACTGAGTGCTGGCACAGGGTAAAGTGCACAATATGCACTTTTCTCTGAAGGAGTCTTGCTCAGTCTCTTGGGTGCATACAAATCTGTTGAGGGTCCTGCTAGTATGGTGTGGGCAGGACAGTGGCGTTGCTGCTGTGGCTGTTGTGCTGAGGGTACACTGGGGAAAAATAAAAAGTAGTGGGCACTAGCCTGTGTTCCTCCTCCCAAAATCGCTTACAAGTAGATAGCCATGTGTGACACATCTTATTTAAATATAAATTTGAAATTTGTCATGCTGCTAATGCTGCAGTAAGAAATTGTACCTGGGCAAAGCCACTTGTTCTCCATCCATGAGCATTTCCAGCACTCCACAGCTAGGGGAGCAGGAAAAAGAACCCCTACCCCGTCATCAGCAGGCTGAATAATGTCAGCCTGGTTCTGAATCAGGCTAGTGGCAGTTAGAGGCCAGGCTTGCATTAGTTTGCTTCCCCTGTTCTACCTGGGATAATGGTGGGCTCCTTGCAGCTCTTCTGAAGCTGGCTGCTCTTCACTCAGAAGCAACGGGACAACCATTACAACAGGAAAAAAAATCCCAACTCCCTAAAACCACATTGTGTTCTTAACCATCATTACTGGCATGTTTGTACATAGTTTTGCTAAGGAGACAAGATCTTATTTAATTTAAAGTTGTACAGCATCTGCCGTCCTCTTCCAATTTTTTGTGACTTTCTTGTTTCATTTCTCTACTGATAGGCCCTTCATTGCCTACCAGTAGTGTTCAGACTAAGGAAAATTGGATTCGAAGCTGTGGAAGTGCTGTATTTTAACCAACAAGGAAGATAACCAGTGAAAGATGTAAGGCAAGTTTTTTTCAAGATA